GTATACAAAGAAAAAATTGCTCCTACATTATAGTTATGAACACATTAATGCATCAAATTTGAATTTAATATTATATAACATATAGCCTTATATTAAATAATTAGATCACACAAAATATTATAATATAATAATAAGACAGGTTATTCTGAAATAGTTTTTTGCGCATATGATTACTTAATCTTTTGCATTGTAATACTTATTTTGTGTACGACTCTTACTTAAGTAAAAAAGCTAAGTCCACCTCTGCACATTGGCCGTTGGGCTCAGTCTACCCGGCCTGTGCTTGGTCTTGAGGAATGTGTCTGTCACATATGCATACAATGCATACTGAGTTAAGGCTGTTACGGCAGTGTTGCGACATGCTTTATGGCATGCGAAGTACTGCTTTACTTCGGAGTAAGCCCGCGAGTTGTCATGTTGCTGCTTACTGTAATGTCTTGACTTACTGTACAATAAACCTGAGTCGTGAAAGATACTCGACCCTCGATCATTCTACATGGTGTCAGAAGTGACCGGTGAGTCACAGGAAATAAACAAGACAAAGTAAGGGAATATAGACGGCGGAATGGCGAAGTTTAATCCCCCAGCGAACTTTTCTTTTGATAAGCCGACTGAATGGCCAGAATGGAAGCAACGCTTTGAGCGGTACAGACTCGCTACTAAACTCGACAAAGATGACGGGAGAGTGCAGGTGAGCTGCCTGATTTATGCCATGGGCAACGAGGCAGAAAACATATTCAAGTCGTTCACTTTTGCCGAAGAAGATGACGGCGATGACTTTGCCGTTGTGGTGGGAAAGTTCAACGAGTACTTTTTCCCGAGGAGGAACGTTATCCACGAGAGGGCATGTTTCCACCAGCGTGTCCAGCGGCCAGGGGAGAAGGCAGAGGGTTTCATCCGAGCCCTGTATGATCTATCAGAACACTGTGAGTTTGGTGCAAGCCGAGATGAGAATATCCGCGACCGAATTGTCGTCGGGATACGAGACAAAGAGCTCTCGCGCAGGCTGCAGCTAACTGCGGACCTAACACTAGCACTGACGATACGGACCGTCAGGCAGTCAGAGGAGGTCGCAGAACAAGTGAGTCTGCAGGAAGACACAGTGGGATCAGTACAGGAGGTGAGATTCAAAGAAAAAAATAACAAATGGAAACCTCAACAACATCAAGGCAAGTCAAAAGACAGAAAATGGGGGGGAAGTGAAAGGGAATGTGGTAAATGTGGGAAATCACAGCATAGCAAGGAAGAAGGGTGTCCTGCAGCTAAAGCTACATGCCACAAGTGCAATAAAATAGGACATTGGGCCAGAGTGTGCCGAAACAGCAATAGATCAGTGAATGAGGTCACAGGGACTGTACAGGCTGAGCAGACCCATTATTTCTTAGGCTCAGTGTGCAGTGCAGAGGAGAAAGAGCAGTGGACAGTACAGCTCCAGGTGGATTCTACTACAATGGAATTTAAAATTGACACAGGAGCTGATGTCAGTGTCTTATGTGAGGATGCATTTCACACACTCACTCCACCAAAAACACTGAAACCAGCTGACATCCCATTAGACAGCCCAGGAGGTGAACTGTTGTGTCTGGGACGCTTTAATGCTACAGTTAGTTACAAGGGAAATAACTACCTATTTGAAGCATATGTAGTCCGTGGCCAGAATGTCAATAACCTACTCAGCCGGGATCTGTCAGTGGAGATGAACCTGGTGAGGCGTGTTGATGAAGTGAAATTCACTACCAGTGAACACCTTCAAGCCTATGGTGAGCACGGCACACTAAAAACTGAACCTGTTAAAATCCAATTAAAGGATGGGGCTCAACCATATGCAGTGCATACAGCACGTCGTGTGCCCTTCCCTATGTTACAGATGGTAAAAGAGGAACTGCAGAGGATGGAGAAGAACGGTGTCATCGAGAAGGTAACACAGCCAACTGAATGGTGTGCTCCTATGGTGCCAGTTCTAAAGAAAACCACAGGCAAAGCCAGGATCTGTGTGGACCTGAAAAGACTAAATGAGTCAGTAAAGAGAGAGCGCTACATCTTACCTACCTCTGATGAAATAACTGCAAAGCTAAGTGGTGCAACTGTGTTTTCCTCTCTCGACGCTGCAAGTGGGTTCTGGCAAATCCCACTGCACCCAGCCAGCTGTAAATTAACAACCTTTATAACACCGTTTGGCAGGTACTGTTTCAAAAGGTTACCTTTCGGGATTTCCAGTGCGCCTGAGATCTTCCAGCGGAAAATGCTAGAGACTCTGCAGGGGCTGTAAGGCGTTGAAGTCTTCATGGACGATATCCTGGTCTATGGGACATCGACAGAACAGCACGACGCCAGACTCGAGAAGGTACTACAGCGTGTTGAGTCAGCAGGCTTAAAACTCAATAAAGATAAATGCTCCCTCAGGCAAAGCCAGCTACGCTTTCTGGGACATCTCATCGACCAGTCAGGAGTCAGGCCTGACCCTGATAAAGTTGAAGCCATACATCAGCTGGCTCCACCAGGAAACGTCCATGAGCTGAAAAGAGTCCTGGGCATGGTGAACTACCTGGGTAGGTACGTTCCAAACCTTTCCACAATAGGTCAACCACTGTACGAGCTTCTGAAGAGCAGGAACATCTGGACCTGGGGTCACTCACAGCAGTCAGCTTTTGAGAACATTAAGAAGATGCTGACCACGGCACCTGTTCTTGTCTTCTATGATGTGGCTAAAGCCACAGCGGTGTCTGCTGATGGCAGTAGCTATGGCCTGGGGGGGGTCCTCCTCCAGCTCCATGAAGAGGAGTGGAAGCCAGTAGCCTACTGTTCGAGGCGTCTCACAGAAGCAGAGACACGCTACGCCCAGATAGAAAAGGAGTGCTTGGCTAGCGTATGGGCCTGTGAGAAGTTCGACAAGTATCTATGTGGCTTGGATCAGTTCAGGCTGGAGACCGACCACAAGCCATTAGTGCCACTGATCAACAAACAAAGCCTAGACAACGTCCCCTTGAGATGTCAGTGTCTACTAATGAGGCTCATGAGGTACAAACCTTTAGCAGAGCATGTGCCTGGGAAGACCCTTGTTGTTGCCGACACACTGTCCCGAAGCCCACTGACACATACAAAGGAAGAGACTGATACTCAAGAAGATGTGGCATGCTATGTAGCCACAGTGATACAGGGCATCCCAGCATCTCCAACGAGAATGGAGAATATCAGAAAAGAGACAGCAGCCGACAGTGAGCTTCAGGCTGTCATCAAGCTGATTAGGGCAGGATGGCCTGAATACAGTAGTAATGTTCCACTGAACATCAGGGACTACACCAAAGTGAAAAATGAGCTATCGGAAGCTGATGGCTTAGTCATACGAGGAAACAGGATCGTGTTTCCGGGGTCACTGAGAGCAGACATTTTGCAGAAAATGCATGAGGGACACCAGGGGCTCTCAAAATGCAGAGAGAGGGTGAATGTATCAGTTTGGTGGCCGGGGCTCTCTGTAGACATTAAGAACATTGTCAACATATGAAAGAGCTGCCAGGAGCAGAAGCGGGCTCAACAGAAGGAGCCGCTTATTTCCACACCACTGCCTGATCGTCCGTGGAAAAGAATCGCTCTCGACCTCTGCGAACATAACAAGCACAACTACCTTGTGATTTCAGACTACTATTCACGGTATCTGGAAATACTACAACTACCATCTACGACAAGTGCCCTTGTCATCCAGAGACTTAAAACGACCTTTGCTAGGTTCGGAATTCCTGAAGACGTTGTGAGTGACAATGGTCCCCAATTCTCCAGTGCAGAATTCCGGGAGCTGGCACAGCGGTTGGACTTCAGACACATCACGTCTAGTCCTCACCATCCTCAAGGAAACGGTCATGCCGAAAGAGCAGTACAGACCGCTAAGAGAATCCTTCGCCAGGAAGATCCGCTGATAGCCCTTATGTGCTATAGATCCACTCCCTGTACTACCACAGGAGTCAGTCCAGCAGAACTGCTAATGGGGAGAAAGATCAGAACGACGCTCCCGACACTCGAGAAAAATCTACGGCCTAAATGGCCTAACAGACAGATTGTCAAACAAAAGGACACGAGTGAGAAAGCAAAACAAGCCTTTTATTACAACCGACGACATGGTGCCAGGCATCTACCAGCTCTACAGCCAGGAGACACAGTCTACACCAAGCTCGACAACGAGAAGTCCTGGAAGACACCAGCAATCGTCTCAAAAGAGTGTGTTACTCCGAGGTCTTACCTCATTAACACACAAGGAGGTGCAGTGCTGCGGCGGAACCGACTTCATCTCCGGGCAGAACCAACTTCCCGACCTGCACAGCACATCCCACTAACACCAGCAGAGAGTGCTGTGGCGATTTCCCAGCCTGTAAGCGCCAACACACCAGAGACTGTTACCCTGAAACCAAGTGAGGTGACAACCCATACAACAACACCAGGACGGGTTCAGACCAGGTCTGGCCGTGTCAGTAAGCCGGCCAGGTTGGACTTGTAGACAGGAGTGTTTTGGGTGTTTCACAATGACCTCTGGGGGTGAATAGAAAAAAAAAACACCTATGGCCTTTGGGGGGGAGAAAATGAATAGGGAAACACAGGTGGACTCTGAGTCTGCTGAATTTTGAGTTCTGTTTATCGTGAATGTTATGTACAAATGTGATATTACTGCTGCAATGTTTAGAAAAGAAAACTTGCATCTTGAATTTTATTTTGTTACAGCACTACTGAAGGTATTGGTTACCCATCTTGATTAACATAATCTGTGAAGTTAACCTGTATTCATAGGACACTTTTGGTTGGTCAGTACGACTGAAGGAACATTTGTTATCACAGTTTGACTGTTGTTTACTATTACAGGATGATGCTGTGACTAATCGGTCAAAACTCTTTACAGTTATTTAAAATTAAATAACTAAGAAAAAGGGGAGATGTCACATATGCATACAATGCATACTGAGTTAAGGCTGTTACGGCAGTGTTGCGACATGCTTTATGGCATGCGAAGTACTGCTTTACTTCGGAGTAAGCCCGCGAGTTGTCATGTTGCTGCTTACTGTAATGTCTTGACTTACTGTACAATAAACCTGAGTCGTGAAAGATACTCGACCCTCGATCATTCTACAGTGTCCAACTCTTATCTCCTCCATTCCGTGCACAGCTGCGCGCCTCCTCTCCGTCCAGCAGCTGAAGATGCTGAGCAGCGCGTGCCTCGTCTCCGTGTTCCTCAGCCCGTACACCAGCGGGTTGATGAACGGAGGCACTAAAAGCATCACCAACAACGACATGTGGAGCGCGGCTGCCGTGGCCGAGGGGGTCGGCTTGGAAGGCGGCGGCGCCAGTATAGCCGCGGTGCCCTCCACCTCCCACATCGCGTCCGAGGTGACTTTGAGCAGCAGCGGCAGCAGCTGCAGGAACAGCATGCCGCAGTAGAACAGCACAGTATTGCGCGCCCTGCTGTTGACCGCGTGGAACGGAATCATCGCCTTGCGCGCGTCCTGGTACATCCTGATGTAGGAGAACGCGTACACGAACAGGCACAGCAGCAGAGTAAAGAAGCCCAAAGACTTGCGTAAAACGGCAGAGGCACGGGGGAAACCCATGTACTTCTCCATCATGTCCGGCTCGCACAGCAGCCCGCTGGTGACCGGCTCGTTGTCCTGCCCTCTTCCCAGGATGTTCAGCAGCAGCATGTTGATGGTGGCCACGGAGGTGGAGTACAGCCAAATTACGCTCAAGGCTTTCCGCAGGCGCGCCTGAGTGATGATCACCAAGTAGTGGATGGCGTGGCACACGTATAAGGCCCCGGCTCCACGAGGACGAAAACGGGTTGAATCCGCATATTTCTCATGCGTATAGCCCTCTAAGCTCGACGACGCCGTAAGGGAAACGTAGAAACAGACCCCGCAAACGACAACGGGTCCAAAGGTGGATAGATCTGGGAACGGAGCGCTCTGGGGGGTCCAACGGGGCCGTGGAGTCGCCTATACGGTGATTCGTTTTCATAGCCCCGCCTCTCCCCCGCAGGGTTGCTATCGTGCTCCAGTCGCTACTGACCATGCTACAGTTCTTTGTGCAACATCTACAGGAGCTCCTCCTTGAATTCAGATTATTTATCTTTATCTCGATATGGACATAAACGCGAGTGAAGTCTAATCTGACAGGACGGAGACACGCAGCTCCTGCCGCTGTGATGCAGCGGGAGCAAAACACACACTTCAAGTCAGATCATCACCCTTAGCTATTTTAATTACCTCTCAAACTACCTAAACTAGTTATAAATATGTTCATTTTTACTGTCGGGTCACTCATTACAGGATCAGCTGCTGCATGAGACAGACACTGACGCTGTCAGAAGAGAGGAAAAAGAGATGTATTTGATGATTATATATCATTATATCGTCGTTATTCATTTGTTTTAAAGCTCAATAAATAACAATGAAGACCTTTGACCGGCACTTTTATAATTTTGTCCGGAAGATTTAAACTTTAACACACGCTGACCGGCGAAAAACTCTGCCCGGTTCTGTCGGCCCCCACCGCGGAGAATACACAGAAGTGCAGCCATGACAACCATTCTTCTTCGCTGCTTTTGTGGAGGAAGTTGCTGCTTTTGTGGAGGAAGTTACAGCGCCACGTACAGGTTCGGCATATGTACTGCAGCTTTTCCAGCGTTTGGATGTAAACGGAGCCGTCTCGTGGAGCTTGACACAATCCGGTGTATATTGCGTGGGGACGGAAGGTTTTTTGCGGTTGCATTTGCGTTACTCCGATGCGTTTTGCCGTATTTGTCCTCGTGGAGCCGGGGCCTAAGTAGCGCTCCAGCGCCATGCACGTGATGGCTAGGAGGCTGGAGAAAATGGTCACGGTCCCCACAAAGTACTGCATGTGACACCAGGTGCTGAACACAATCGTCCGGCGTTGAATCAGCGAGTGGATGACCGCGGGACCGAAGGTGAAAGTCTGCAGGAGGTCGCTCAGGATCAGATTCTTAAAGAGCGCAACTTCAGAGCGTCCCAGTCTGAAGAGGATAAACCCGTTAACCAGAAATGAGGAGAGTGTCAGGAGCACAAAAATCACAATAAGCGCGGGGACTGCCTGTCCATGGGGCAGGATGGATAGAAAGAGGCAGCCGGCAGCGTCCAGCCGCTCCGTGACGCGCGGCGCAGTTCGGTTCCCCCCGCTGATCCAGTCGCACAGGCCGGTGTGGTTGTGTGCCTCTGCGACCCTCATCACAGGAGCTGCTGACATTTTCCATCTGAGTGGCTCGTGTCCCTCACGCATCATCCTCTTGTAGATGGAGTAAAATCTCCATCTACCTGTGCGAACATGACACACACACACACACACACACACACACTCACACACACACACACACTCACACTCACACTCACACTCACACTCACACTCACACTCACACTCACACTCACACTCACACTCACACTCACACTCATTCTCTCTCTCTCTCTCTCTAACAACTTAATGGGTTTTTGTTCAGAGAAACTGCTAGTGGCTTTTCTTTTTGAAAGGAAAATATATTGAGATAATAGTGACTTCATTTTTCATCTCTCTTCTCCAAACTGTTGGTGGGCATCCTGTTTAATAAAATAGGTGATATTCCAGTTAGGGTTCCTTGTAGCATTGTGCATTCTGGCTGTCTGCATATACATAAAGGACCTTACAATTAATGTAAATAGTAAACAATTGTGCTTAACTTGCCTGCTGATCCATAACATATATCCCCATATAACTCAACCAGAGCCGTCGTAATAGTATGACTTAATTATCTCAATCTCAGTTTTCTATTGTTATTTACCGGACTAATTGGCAGCGGAATCAGAAAGAAAACTATCAAAATTATTTCTAGGAAAAATTCCCCGCCCCTACAAAATGTTACGCTGTATGATGGCAATTAACGAATTGTGAAACACTGTATGGTTGTCAGATTGTATGACAGACTGTTCTGCAGCAGAGAAAATCACAGAATAATATAGAACGTTTCTTGGTGAGGGATCTGTCTGGACTTATTGTCCCATATACAGTATGTGTGAAAAACAAAAGCTAAAAACATCTAGGCTAATCATTTAATAAAAGTACATTTTGTTTTAAAGTATAGAGTTGGTGAAACTTTCACACATTTGAATGTTACCCACCCTTTTTAAAACCTCCACCACTACATTTGTTTTATGAATGGTTGCAAAAAACATTAACCCACAACACAAGATGTACCCCCTCCAACAGAGCAAAAATGTGTTGCTCTGAGTGCAGAGTGACTCCCGGTGTAGTCTGGTAACTGCGGTGCAGTGATCAACACTTCATAGTCTGTGGCAGGATTTATGCTGCATAGTGCAATATCTATATTTTAAAAGTAGATATATTTGTTAATGTATTGTATTAATCCATGCAGTCTGCAAGTAGTGAGGACTACAACTAAGGCACAAATGTATACATGCCAGATGCTGATTGCTTCAAATAAATGTTATACAATATTACAAAAGGTCGAAAAACAAGATATTTAATAAATCATAATACATAAATCACTTGCAAAACGTACAGTGTAATAGTAGAGACTTTAAAAAAAAAAAAAAGTCAATCTCAGATAGTCTTTCAGGCGTTTGAGACACTTAAACACAAGAACAGCATTTCAAAATACTGATAATCTGCAGAGTAATCTAAAAAAGTGTTTTGTTTTTTCATTTCAAATTGCTACATTTTGGAGGAGAGTTTTAACATACAGCTACTGTATACTATTTAATGTACATAAAAACTAAACACTTTGAGTTGTGGACAACGGTTTTGCAGCCTCAAGTTTTGCATTTTGGCCGTTAGGTTTTTGTGGAAAAAAGTGTCCGAACAACAAACCGTGTGACGTCAGATAAATGTTTAGGTGACCAAAATGTACAACTAACATTTATGAACCAAGAATACATTGGGAAAGTATAGTTGTACTTGTATGACAAAAACACGGAGAGCACACAAAACAGACAGCATTGTAGTTGCGACCTCAGAATCATAATGTAGATACACTTAAAAAGCATTTGCTACTTTATCGTCTATTGTACGGTAAATGGGACCATCTATGGAAGCAAATAAGAGACCGAATTATTTGAATTTTATCAGACACCAAATTTATAGCATTGAAAATGTTTACTTTGAAAATGTATCTGAATTTTTTTGTTCCGAATGAAATAAAAATCTGAAATATCTTGAATTTTAAAATCTGAATTTCAATGTATTTGTGTTCACAAATTCATATCTAACAATTCAAGTAAAAAAAAATTGAATGGTCAAATTCAGATCCCAAAATTCAAGTTAAAAAAATTTGAATGGTCAAATTCGGTGCTTAAAATTCAACGTCCAACATTTTCAAGGGAGCATCATCCGGGCTATCCAGACAGGATAAGCAATCAAGCCTGAATGCAATCAAACCGACTTCTGGCCTATCAGAGCACGGCTTCTCACTCATGTGATCAAAACAACCCGGGAGAAAGATGATGGAGAGCAGCGGGGCTCGGGTAAGTAGTCAGTTTGTGCAGTTTATCTTACAAGCAGTGAGGGCTCAACAGCATTTGTATCTTACATTAGCTAGCTAAATGAGTGATGTAGCCTTATGCCTTGCTGTCAGCAAGCTACGTAGTTATCATTAACTTTTGAGAGAGAGCCCCCCCCCCCCCCACACACACACACACACAAAAGGAAACAGCATGCTGTCGAGCCCTCACTGCTTGTAAAATAAACTGCACAAACTGACTACTTACCGGAGCCCCGCTGTTCTCCGTCATCTTTCTCCCAGATTGTTTTGATCACATGACTTAGAAAGCCGTGCTCTGATAGGCCAGAGGTCGATTCGATTGCATTCAGGCTCGATTGCTTATCCTGTCTGGATAGCCCGGATGATGCTCCCTCGAAATTTGGACGTCGAATTTTAAGCACCGAATTTGACCATTCGGATTCTTTCAACTTGAATTTTGGGATCTGAATTTGACCATTCTAATTGTTTTGACTTTAATTGTTAGATCGGAATTTGTGAACACTTAAACAAATACATTGAAATTTAGCTTCTGAAATTGCGTATCTAATGAGCCCCTAAAGGTTCATGAAAAAAATAAAAGTGTCTTGTGCGCACGATATTCAAGTATCTCGTGTGCACGATATACTTTTTCATGCGCACGAGAAAGTTACCGGTGCGCCAAGTAGGAAGTGGAGCACACAGGAGACCACCGTTTCATTGCAGACTGTTATGTTTATGTGGGGAAATGGCAGTGCATACATTATTTGAGATATATTTCAAATTTTAGGGACATTTCGGCCAGAGGTGTAGAGCTATTTGTTTAAGCACCGGATTCGCAAAACATGAGAGTCTAAACCCGTCTGCCATGATCTATGAATTCATGTCCATGACTCTCACAGTATCTGCTATCGCGCAGAGATAGCAGGCGGACTGACCATCGGGACGTTCGGGACGAATCCCAATGGGCTGATTTTTAGTCCCAGTCCGCCCCTGGCATGGTGTGTGTGTGTGTGTGTGTGTGTGTGTGTGTGTGTGTGTGTGTGTGTGTGTGTGTGTGTGTGTGTGTGTGTGTGTGTGTGTGTGTGTGTGTGTGTGTGTGTGTGTGTGTGTGTGTGTGTGTGTTCGGTGTTCGGTGTTCGGTGTATATGTGTGTCCGACACATGCATTTGTTTTCAAATTACCATGAAAAGTAATTTACACACGTCTGGCTAACTCCACAGGTACAGTATATGTGTGTGTTCCCATGTGAAAGAAGTTAGTTAATTCTTAATCTCGATGTAGTGCTTAGTGCTGTCGGAGTGCACCGGAACGAATGACACTATCATAATATCTTCTGAAAACAAATGCCCACACACACACACATACACACACACACACACACACACACACACACACACATAGATACACACACACACACACACACAGACATAGACACACACACGCCCTGGCGACCGGACATCTTCTTCATAAAACTAATAATATGGCGTAATAATCGGGCAGCTCGATGTGTCTAACCATAAGAAAGTATATCGTGCGCACGAGAAAGTATCTTGTGCGACCGAGATTTTGTTTTTTTCCATTAACCTTTGGGGGCTCCGTACGTATCAAGATATTTCAGATTTTTATTTCACATAGGTTCATTTGGAACAAAAAAATTCAGATAGGCCTACATGATTTTCAAAGTAAACATTTTCAATGCTACATTCGGTGTCTGATAACATTTCAAATCATTCTGTCTGTTATTTGCTTCCATAACCATGACTTACAAAATGAACATCTTGGTGTATTGAAGAAAAACCTGAAACTAGGAAAAGGTTTTATAAGGTGTTAAATCAAGTTCAAAGTAGGGTCATTTCTCTCATAGACTTCTATACAATCAGACTCCTTCTTGCAACCAATGAAGTCGCTCCCTGTTGGCCATTGGAAAGAATGCAGGTTTGCGCATTGGCTTAATTTTTTAGACCTGCAATCCTTTCTGGCATTGCTCTGACTCTGGTATCCACCCTATACTGTATAATGTAAAGCTATATATCAACATGAAACATTGTTTGCAGAACAATTTAAATATACATGGGTGTAGATATAAAGGAGCTAGAAGCGACAGTGAGAAAAGGGACAAAAAAAGGGCACTGAGAGGCAAAGGAGGGATCAGGGTGGAGGGCTGCATGGAAGGAGTGATGGCATACCTCCAGCCTTATATAGGGTGTGTTTGTCTATAGCGTTCAGCTGCTCCCCCAGGGAATGTCCAGGAATAGAAGGAGGTAGAGGAGAAGAAGGTGGTCAGAGGGTGAAAGAGGAAACAGTACATTTATTGGAAGTCGTTTCTTCTTGGTCTTCAGTCCCTACTTTGCTAACCTTAATTGTCTCACACTTCTGAACCTTTTCTCTCACACAACTAGAGAAAAGTGTTGCGCCGGGCATCAGCTGGTGCTGTCAGTCAGGCTCTCTGAGCAGCCCTCAATGCAGGGGGTGACATAAGTCTAACGGCATGGAAGCTGAACACACACTGTGGACCTCAGGGACGACTGAGAGGGGTGAGAGGAGGTTAAGGCAGAAAGAAGAGATGATGCAGATTAAAACATGGAGAATAGTGGAAGGGTGATAAAAAAAGGAGTGTTTTGGTGGCAGGAATCAAAGAGTGGAGAAAAGGTGTTGAGTGTGATGGATATAATGAGACAGGACAGGAAAGAGAAGTCAAGGAGGGGGGGGTTGGATGATTAGATGAGCAGAACTGTTATTGCCCAAACTCCCTTACGGATTGGTTAATGTGTTTGCCTTGTTTGTTAAAGCAGAAGGCCAACATAAAATGGATATTGACCAGATTAAATACTTTTATACAATTGTGCCACAGTATTTTTAAAAATAATATATTTGATGTCTTTTGCCTCACATAGCGTAATTACAAATAAGGTTTCGCCAACTGTTGGACACTAACGATGCGTTCACATGCTTGCAAGATGACGGTAGTTGGAACATTGAATATTAGAGAAGGACGGTAAAATAATTTGAGGCCGGCTGCAGATCCTGGCAATGGTAACGGTGCAAAGTAAAAATATTTTAACTTTTTCCTGTCGTCAGAAAGGATCAACTTTATATATAAAGCAAAAAAAGTTATAATGGGATTTATATGGTTTAATCATTATTACAAACATTTCAGGACCTATAAACAGTGTTCAAAATGTATAAAAACTTAAAACACAATTTTTAGGATGTGATTTAAAAGCTATAAGCCTCAGACAGCTAGTGGGACATAAGACATTAACTGACATTGTATCGATTTGTAGAAAAAGCTTATTTAAAATAGGTACAAATGCTGTACAGGTGAAAAAGTCACCGATTTGACATCATTAAAGAGCTGAACTCTGAACATGAACATGAAGTATGATTATGTGGCTTATTGTCAATGCCTCAAGTGTTCTTATAATCACATATCACACCCCCATTCAAGTTCTGCAAAAACCCACGGGAGATTGAGTTAACGGGAACAGGAAAAAGGATATTTCATTAAGTGTGTGGCATGCAATAAAAAGTAAGAACATTATAAAATGATGTCGGGGAGCTTTTTTGAAAAAGTATTTTGCCCTTGTACGAACAGTTTCCAATGACGACAGCTGTTTTTTTGGTATTGGTTCTAATTAGCGACACAACAATTAAAACTTCTCCAGCCGGGAGGTATTATGTGTTATTTCATTACAATGATTTGCTTAGTAGCAGTGGTGGAAAGTAACTAAGTACTATTTCTCAAGTGCTGTACTTACAATTTGTAGGTGCTTAAACAACATTTAAAAAATATCCTATATGTATTTTGAAAATATTATTTGAAATGAAACATTCTGCATAATGAGTACTTTTGATAAATGAATTATACTTCTACTCAAGTAACATTTTGAACTCATGACTTTTACTTGTGATGCAGTATTTGAAGACCATCATAATTACATATTCAATTAAAGGTGGGGTAGGTAATTTTGGAGAAACCAGCTCGAGTGTGCTAGAATTTGAAAATACACAGCCGGAAAAAATCTGCCACTTCCTTACAGAGCCCCTCCTCCAACACACACGAACGCGCACATGACCAATGAGGGCACGAGATAAGTTTGTGCACAGATGGAAGGCTGACAGACAGGTAGGCCATCCAGTTACTTTAGCCGGGCCGGCTAAAATGATTGGTCGTGCTTTTTACAGTACTACGGCTTCCACAGATGACATTTTTTTATGGATTTTTTGTCAAAGCACTTAAGATATTCATTGCTATCGGGATGTTAAGAGCATTCCATGGAATATAACAAAAAGTGTATCTCGAGCCGGTTTCTCAAACTTACCTACCCCACCTTTAAGTAAAGGATCTGAGTACTTTTCCCACCACTGCTTAATAGTGTAAAACATGTGTGTAACCCATTATATGCCCATTCATCTGGAAACTATAATCAATTATTTTTCCTTTCCGGAATTAAATACATTTAGGTCATGATCATTCTAAACCAACTTTGTTTAATACATTGGCATTTTGATACAGTTTAGTCATCCTGGACCTGATGGTAAGATTATTTCCTATCATTTAGTACTGAATGAATGAATAACCTTATTTGTGCAAACTGCCTTCTTGGACGACCTTATGGTATATTTAACAATATAAAGTGCCCTCTAGGGTGCCTTAAATGCTTAAAACTGGTGCCCCCACATAGCTGGTGCCCCTTCGTTCGTTTCCGTCCCTGTCCCTCAGTCTCAGTCCTCTTGTCTTTACTCAAACTCACATGTCTAAGTGGCTCCTATTTATGTATCTTCTTTAGTTGATGTTCAATAATGAGCATTGTTCTTTATTAATTGCATATCTTGTGCACATGCTTTATGATCTCAAAATAAGAGGCCTGATATTAGTAATGAACAACCCCACTTGCTCTGGTAGCCATGCAAATGAGACAGTCCTCTGGGCACAAATAGATTTCCAGTAAAATAATTGAGAAACTGCAGAGCCTTAGTGCTTAAAATTCCAGAGTGTACACCAACATCAGCAAAGACTCGTAGATTGACTGTCTGTCTGGTGGAATGAAGCGGGAAATGATGCTTGAGGCTGAGCATTTGATATTAGATTGCATACGCTAGCAAAAATACAACTTTTTAGACCAAATACATTCAACACTCATGACAAACAGCTTCAATTGTACTTTGTATTTAGTGCTAACCTAGTGAACTAAGATGGTAAGCTATCTAAACAATACCTGCTTTAAAAAATAGCAAATTACCAATGTCTTTGTGAACATTAATGCACACACAATGTACACTATATCTGTTTTCTTGTCTTTTTTATTACTGCCAATTTGTATTCATATTTTATTCCCTATTTTAATTCCATTCCATTGCAATGTAAATACTGTTATATTTTACTATATTTGTATTATATTTATTATTTTTAATATTATTTTCTAGTTCCCTACCTGTGTTTTAATTCATGTTTTATTTTTATTTTGATGTACGCACCATGACGTCATGTCAAATTCCTCGTATGTGTAAACCTACCTGGTAATGAACCTGTTTCTGATTCTGATTCTGAAGATGTTAGCATGCTAGCTTGAGCACTTAGCTATTAGCTAAGTACAATTTCACAGAGTCGCAAACTGTTCTTTACAATCTGTACTGCTGATTTTACAGACATGTCTGAACGCCACTTGTCTCTTTTGTCAAGATGTTAAATTTAACATAGGAAAGTCTGGGCCTAATAGCAAGTGGCCATGGGGCAGCTAAAGGCCGCCTAGCATAAACAGCTAAAAAGGCAGTAGCCTATCTCCCAATGTAAACAGCAGTTAAAATAATTTCAGTATCCAACCATCCCTGTTTTGGATTAAATTGGTTCTTGATAGTAGATCGTCTTTCCAAAAACGCTCATCCTCATATAAGCATGTAAAGTGAGGAAAAAAACAAACTGTTGAGCAAGGTTATATTCCAATGCTTGAATTGTATTCGTTCTTTTTTTATAAAAAGTACAATATAATATGAAGTCTTCTTTCTTCTGGAACACAACTGTTCCAGTTTCACTTCTGCTCTCTATGAAGCCAATGCAAATGATTGACGTGTTAATTATGGGTCACCTGTTTGTTGCTTTTTGAAAGGGGTTTTGTTTGTTTACTTGTCAATGGGATGGGATATCAATAGGTAAAAAAGTGACAGATGGGATATCAGATGTGTGAGGTCCATTTACACGCCTCTTGAGTTACAGATGTCATAAGTGCAAGGGCAAGTCTGCGGCAGCCAGAACAGGGAGACAGGCAGATAGATGGGACACTGCTGGGAGGTGTTAATCCCTGTGTGTGTGTGTGTGTGTGTGTGTGTGTGTGTGTGTGTGTGTGTGTGTGTGTGTGTGTGTGTGTGTGTGTGTGTGTGTGTGTGTGTGTGTGTGTGTCCTGTTCTTGTGCAGCATGGTAAATCTAGTTTCACATCATCTGCAGTGAGATGCTCAGTTGATCCTCTGCCAAAATAACCTCCAGTTGCCTGATGCCTGCGCTGTGTTTTATTTTTTATAAATGTCACCGGGCTTGTCTGTTATCTAAATATGGGGGATTGGCGAGTGTGCCACACAAGGGGATGTCCATCAGGAGATTGTAACAGGACACAAAGTAAAGTTAGTTTTGATTGGCTATCTCTTGTCTTAGGAGGGGGTCTCTTGCCCAATCCTGATCATTTTCTGTAAACGTGAAGTGGGATGAGAGGGTACTTATAAAAGGGGAGTAAAGCCACCTGAACCGTGTAGTAAGAAGACTCTTTTTCCCAGACGTCTGTCGTGTTTACTGGTTTCTGTTGTTCAAGCACAGCCGGTCGCCATGGTAAGAAAGCGAAATTTGAGAAGAGGGTAAAAAGGGAAACGATGAATGATGAATCTTTGAGGATTTGCTTTTGTTTTCAACTCATGAGGATACTGTAAGCGGCAGATGGCAGAAGATGGAGAATATTACCAACGTCACACAGCGGGTCCTCCTCTGCAGCACATATGGATTTCTATACAAGAGGCGTTTAATCTCTTGGGATTCCTTCATTTCTGGGGGGGAAATTTGGGGGGAGTGCTCCTGTTGTTCATTTCTTTATGATTTATTTTTACAGAGGACAGATACATCTTTATTCCAAACTGCTAACCTGCTGTGTAACTTCTCTTAAACTTGTGTAACTCCTCTTTGTTTGTTAGCAGACTGATGTGATTTTGCTTGATATTTAGATTGGGGTCACAAAAGATAGAAAGCACACAGCTGAGATAAGTGAGAAGTTCTGATGCCTTTTCTGAGGGTCCTTATTTAGGGCATTCACCTTGAGAAAATCCCTTTCTAATCCTCTCCCAAGTATCACCTTAAAAATAGCTTCATGGAAAACTAACAAGCGGCCTTATGTGATGAGGTTCTGTCAAGCAAACAAGGAAAGACGGAAATAATTCACTGTCTTTCTGAACTACCAGGGAACAGGGGAATGTATAACAATGAAAGGGGAATACCACCATTAACCCTAAACCAGCAGAGACCAACTCCTATTGGATGTATGACCTGCATTTCAACGTATATAGTTGTGATGTCTTCAGGCACTACTTCTGGATATGAGAACTAACTGGACAGGTGGTGAGAGCCAGAGAACAACTGCGGGATATGGCAGGGATAGCAGAGATTAAAAGGGGAACTTCGAAATGCATACATGTTATTCCTTTGGTCTAAAAATATCAGCAAACATGAACAACTCTCTCACAAGAATGCTAAAACTTAAATGTGTGATGTCATCAAGGATAAAGTGTGGAAGTGCTCCAAGGACAATGGATTGTGGGCGATGTTACAGATGACACAAAGAGTAGCAAGGGGAATGTTCTGAGTATATGGGACATGTTCTGTTTCAGAACTGAGAACACTGCAGTGAAAGTAGAAGGATCATTTGGGTGCGAAAAGGAAACAAGCATTCTGTGGATCCTCAACATTGATTTCACATGTATTGTCTTTGGAGTAGATCCAGGGTCAATTTGAATAACATATTGGTTATATCTCCCATGTCTTCCCAATAAAGAAAGATCCCAAATGTTGGAAAAACACGCGTTGATCGAGCGGTGTTCCCCTTAGAGAATCATCATTCAACAAGAGCAGACAGCTGGCAGAGGATTAAACATGGATTCTTACCTGACACAAAGCTATTTCCAGCCCTTGGCTCTCACTTCGTCATTGATACTTCTGTCTTTAGCACAAGGTTTCTGATTTAGTTTCTGCTAGCTAGATGGAGAGACAAGGCTTAACTACAAGCAAGGGACCAGCATGTACATTTTGTTACCTTCCATTCATTTCAATCAATATGACAAATCAATTTGTGTGATGTTTGGCTGTTATGGATAAGTCCATCCAGATGTAACTGATAACGTGAAGCCAAGTGTTGTGTGTAAGGTAGAGAAACACTCAAAGAAATTCTAAAATGCTTTAATATGAGTTGAAACTTGGTCAGCAGTAATGACAGTATGTGAGTTGTAGTAAGTGAGTAAGTGCAGATGCTTCTGCGGTGTCGGACCACAGGAGGTTAATAACCTTGTGGTGTTTGACACCTGTTGAAAATCAAATGTGTGATTGTGTTAGTGTTGATGAAGATGATACTATCCCAATTACTCCTTACATCCTGTTTTGGTAATGACATGTAGGAATAACATCTCTCTCTCTGTTCACATCTTCTGTCATTCTTCTATTAATTTTTGTATCCTCTTCAGCCCACTGACGCCCAAAGCGATGCCCGGTCCTTCCTGACTGAGGAGATGATTGCAGGTCAGTCCCTCTGTATCTCAGCACTACATAATAATGTAGTATATTACTCTTTATTAGGTTCTCCACTGATTTCACATGAACTTGATTTTTTTTTGGTCATGTTTATGTTTGATTCCTGTCTGAAACCAACATCAACCTATTTTAAATGATGTACGTTAGGGTTAGCTTGACTTGCCTTTCCTATACCTAACCCCCTAATCCTAACCCTAACCCTTGTTTCCAAAACCAAACAAAGTAATAGCCTTACTTACTTAACATATGTCACATACATACAAAAAAAAAGCATTTGAACCTGAATCACAACCTTTTCCTAAACCTGACTAAGTTTTGCCTTACCAAGTAGTGACGCAAGATACTTGACTTTTGTCATATACCTAACAAGTTTATTTTACTTGTGTAACTAAGGAAAGAAACACATACATAAACCCCCATTTTCATTAAGTCTTACCAAGAAGTAATGAAATGTACCACATGCTGAAGTCTATCAGACTACCCTGTAAGTTGGAAATGAGTCCAAGGAGTCCTGATTTAGCTGCCATAGTTGACGAGTTGGGAGTCAGAATGTGTTGGAATGGCAGGTCGTTTGGACTGAACCAGGGCTGGAACAGGTTTTATGATCTGGAAATGTCACCAGTTGACAGATTTCTCCTCCTTTGGTCCCTTTATATTGGCAATACATAAATTAATGTTGGTACATTTATCAGCCTACATAAGTGAGTCCTTCTAAGCTGTTATTATATTAATTATATTCAAGATTCAAGGCTTTTATTGTCATGTGTGCATAGCTACAGTGTAGTTATGACAATGGAAATCTTAGGTCACAGGCTCCTCCAACAGTGCAACACAATAAAACAGATACAATTGTGCAAGTAAATAAAATGAAATTGAATATAATAGAAATAGTGCAGAATAGTCTATATACAGGTAATTGGAATATTGATATTTATAAAACGGACAAGTAAAATCAAGCAATCTGATTGGTTCTTAGCCGTGGTATACTGAGCGTATACCACGGGTAGAATTGTAAATTACTTTTCACAACAACTCAGTATCCCTCCGCGTCTGAGATAAACAGTATACAGTTGGGCTGAAAAGCAAACTTTCGAACTGGAACAAGAAAGCAGCGGAGAAGTAACGGGGCAGAAACCCTCCTTTTTACGCAACGGTCCAGACATAGACATCAAACGGCAAAAACATATTCAGTGTGCAGTTCCTTTGGCATTAGGACAGGGATATCTAGATACTTTCCAAGGTTTGACATAATGAATTGTGCTACTTTTAAAGCAAGCAACAATGTTTTCAAATCTGTAATCAAAAAGGTCCGCAAAAACATTTAAGATTAACTTCGACCTCCGGGGGGGGGGGGGTCTTACTATGGAGGAGTGGATTGAGGAGTGCCTATCTCCAGAACAAAAAGCACCTAAACGACGACATGTAGAGCTACGTGAAGAGCAGGTAGACCAACTGGAAAAGTACCACCATTCAAAAGCTTTCTGATGCGGGTCTTGAAACAAAGCAGAGAAATTATGACCGTTAGTGGCCACAGGTGCGAAAGCTCTCTCCAGAGCTACTGGAAGACGAATCTCGGGGACCGGAGAAAGTGGAGCAATATTCTCGCAACGCCAAGCAACAGCCTAGAACAACCTCAGCCGATACAAGTGACCACGTAAGCCATGCTACTGATGCTGGACAGTTTTTCAGTGGGTGCACAATAAACGGCAACATACAAATTAATGTAAATAAATAGCTAAATAATGGATCAACGCTCTCTGTCTAATATGTTCGCTAGCTGTTGTTAGTGTTGTTGCATAACAACCACCTCGCACTATGTTTCGTGCAGAAGGCAACAGAGGGACTATTTTATTTTGAACATCATTATTTACAAATAAAAACTATTTAAATTAGAGTGTGTATTTTTCTTTCATATTGCCACACTTGGTAACCGTTTTATAAAAGCAATAGCTCACTTCAGGCCGTGATATATGCTCATTATATCACAGCTAACGGGGTTGTCGACCCTCCGCTTCGCGTCGGGCCGAACCACGCCCCTTAGCTGTGATATAATGAGCATATACCACGGCCTGTCGTGAGCTATTGCTTAATTATAAAACGGACAAGTCAAATCAAGCAATCTGATTGGTTCTTAGCCGTGGTATACTGAGCGTATACCACGGGTAGAATTGTAAGTTACTTTTCACAACAAGTCAGTATCCCTCCACGTCTGAGATAAACAGTATACAGTTGGGCTGAAAAGCAAACTGCTTGCAGTTTGCTGAAAAGCAAACTGCTTGCAGTTTGCTTTTCACACTGGAACAAGAAAGCAGCGGAGAAGTAACGGGGCAGAAACCCTCCTTTTTACGCAGCGGTCCAGACATAGACATCAAACGGCAAAAACATATTCAGTGTGCAGTTCCTTTGGCATTAGGGCAGGGATATTTAGATACTTTCCAAGGTTTGACATAATGAATTGTGCTACTTTTAAAGCAAGCAACGATGTTTTCAAATCTGTAATCAAAAAGGTCCGCAAAAACATTTAAGATTAACTTCAACCTCCGGGGGGGGGGGTATTACTATGGAGGAGTGGATTGAGGAGTGTCTATCTCCAGAACAAAAAGCACCTAAACGACGACATGTAGAGCTACGTGAAGAGCAGGTAGACCAACTGGAAAAGTATCACCATTCAAAAGCTTTCTGATGCGGGTCTTGAAACAAAGCAGAGAAATTATGACCGTTAGTGGCCACAGGTGCGAAAGGTCTCTCCAGAGCTACTGGAAGACGAATCTCGGGGACCGGAGAAAGTGGAGCAATATTCTCGCCACGCCAAGCAACAGCCTAGAACAACCTCAACCTATACAAGTAACCACTAAGCCATTCTACTGATGCTGGACAGGTTTTCAGTGGGTGCACAATAAACGGCAACATACAAATTAATGTAAATAAATAGCCAAATAATGGATCAACGCTCTCTGTTCGCTAGCTGTTGTTAGTGTTGTTGCATAGCAACCACCTCGCACTATGTTTTGTGCAGAAGGCAACGGAGGGACTATTTTCCCAGTTAAGGGACAGTTAAGGGGGTTGTCGACCCTCCGCTTCGCGTCGGGCCGAACCACACCCCTTAACTGTGATATAATGGCCATATACCACGGCCTGTCGTGAGCTATTGCTTAAATATAAGTTGCAAACAGATGGATGTTATGGATGTTCTTTCAAAAGTTCAGGCGTTAAACAGTCTTCTGCACAAGAATCCAGAAATAGTTTGTTCTCAAATTGTTTTTCTTTCTTTCTCTTGTCCAGAGTTCAAAGCCGCCTTCGACATGTTTGACACAGACGGTGGCGGAGACATCAGCACCAAGGAGTTGGGTCAAGTGATGAGGATGCTGGGCCAGAACCCATCGAGGGAGGAGTTGGATGCCATCATTGAGGAGGTGGATGAGGATGGTGAGATCATTGTGTGATCAACAAATATAAAGAAGAACAACAAATATCCAATCTTATTGCAAAAATATTTAGCGATGCCTTTCTGTCCCGCAAAAAATGAAATTGCTTTTGCTTCCACTCAATCAATCAATTATATACAACAAAGAACCAAAGGCTGTGTTTTCTATGACTTGTGTGGTTAAAGAAGTTTTCCAGAATCAAGTATTGTATTTCCATCAATTTGGGTGACTTTTTAGACGGATTGAAAAATAACAGTGAAAATTAAAGCAGCACAGAAATCCAGAATGTTAGTCCCATGATTAGTCAATAACTAAAACCATTGGATCCTACTATTTGCATAATGCAACTCAATAGCAATTAATAGAACCTATCTGCCTGTTAAATGCCATTGAATTAACACGCCAGCAGTATAAGAAAAATATGTTCGACTAAATAATGATTGTCTAATTTCTTTTGCAATGTAACATCAGTTATTTTTTACAAAACTTTTTTCAGAGATACAGAAGATGTCATGCAGCTGTTTTTTTACAGGCTGACTAGAATTCATTAAGTGAGGCTTTGCACCTCATTTCGAACTTCCTAGAATGTGATGCATATGTTTGGATGATATGGAGTATTGTAAGAAACAAACAAAAGCTCAGTTCATGTGTGGCTTCCATCCTGTCACATCTCATTTGGCTTTTCTCCTGCCCTCCCTCTCTGCAGCCAGCGGTACTATCGACTTCGAGGAGTTCTTGGTCATGATGGTGCAACAGCTAAAGGAGGACCAGGCTGGAAAGAGTGAAGAAGAGCTTTCAGAATGCTTCCGTATCTTTGACAAGTATGACACCCAACACTGAGAGACAAATACAAATGCAAAACCTGAGGAATATTTTAGAATAAGGCCTTGCAGAACCATTAAACGCCTACACCAACAGGGCAGTGTTTTTATACCTTTTTCATGGTATAATTACAATCCAAATGAGCTACACTTCTAAATATTCGTTTTATTTTTGGTACTGATACGTTCTATTGTTTGATAAGTGCCATTTAAAAACGGTGGTTAGCAAAAGGGATTCCTAAACCTTAAACTTTCAATAACTATTATAAATTAGAACACGTGCCAAACATTGTGCAAACAGGTGCTTATTTTACAAATTCAGCAGTTACAGATCAACATAATCATTCATTTAGAGATGCGTTTCAGGTTATATCTAATGGCGCACTTCCACTACAGCGCGGAGCAACATTTAAAAAAATATCTTCCCGGGGGAGCATGCCCCAGGACCCCCCTAGAGGAGGTTAGGTCCGAGCTGGACGCTCTGTCGGTGCAGCCGAGTTGCCTTTTGATCCGGGGTGACCGTAGCGGGGCGACACTCAGACCGAACCCCTCGTTTGTTCCCAAGAACCTAAGGAGTTCGTTCAGGTCGAGGTCTATACAGTTAAACTGCTTTAGTCTTCCACCCCATAGTGGGGACAGGGAGGCTAAATTGCACCTCCTCTGCCCAGTGCGTGCGCTGGCATGTTATGTAGGGCACATGACAATACGTAACCCCCCGTTACCTGGCGAATGTAAGTCCACGGTACAATAAATACTCTCTTAAATCTAGTTTTGGTCTCCTCCAACTCCTGGTAGAAAAAAAGATCTGTCTCTTTAGCTGCAAGTTGTTATTATTTACTAGCTAGTGACTTTGTCTGAGCAGGCAGTAAACCAAGAGCCTCGAATTATAGCACAGAGAGATAAAAAGTGGTGAAAATTGCTACATGCTGAGTGACTGTTTTTGGAGACTAAAAATAAATATGGCCTGGAATTCATCAACTTTCCATAAACACATTTCAGAATGAATCTTAATGTCGCTACTTATCTGCTCGATGAGTACAGTAAACAACTGTCTGCTAACATGATCACCATAGCAACAGCCTCATTATTAAATTATCTGGGCTAACGCATTAGCCGAGATTAGTTTATAACAGAAATATACTGCAACATTAGCTGTTAAGAGGAAAATTCCAATACAGAAATAAGTAGTTTAGAAACAGTGACACCATGACCGATTTTTCAACAATAAACAACTGAAATGCCCCCCTTAGTATATTGGACACAGTTCTTTAGCAACGAAATGTATCAGAAATGTTTCTTATGCTATGCATTTATTTATAAAATACTAATAGGCTATCTGGTTGTAATCTGAATCTGATGTTTTAAAACCCTAAAGTATCACCATTGTATTACAAAAACAGCTTTGGTGGACTTTAGCTTAAACAAAGGCTGCTATAAATGTACGTATTGATGTAAATGGATTTTTGAATTAAAATGTCCAATGTGTGTTTGTGTGGTGATGTGAGAAAGGTGACAGATTAGTTTTCACAGCTGTTAATCAATATTCTTTTTATCCTCAGAAATGGAGATGGATTTGTGGACAGGGAGGAGTTTGGAAATATTCTCCATCTCACCGGGGAGCTACTGGTGGAGGAAGATATCGATGAGATGTTTGGTGAAGCAGACAATAACAAAGATGGAAAGCTTGATTTTGATGGTAAGGTTATTAGAAGTGTTTCTTCACCCATGTGTGTTTCTTCACGTCTTAAAAACTTGCCTAGACTGGACTTTCAGAGCCACATGCCACATTTTGAGTGTTTTCAGTAAAAACACTCAAAAGTAAAATACAGTAAATCTGTCTGTTCAATATTAAGCTGCAGACAGCTGCCAGTCACATTAGCTTAACATAAAGATTGGAAACAGAAGGAAACAGCAAGCACTTTTCTTTTAAAAACACAAAATGTTTGTTGTGACATCCTGAAGTCTCTGCAGGCAACCTCGTCATACTGCCAAACCAAGAAAAACTCTGGCACCTATACACCTTGTGATTTCCATCTAAAAAATGTACTTTACATAATCTAAAATAGCCAGCTGCTGATTCGATGGTCAGATATGGGATGGTGTAAATGTTTTGCAAGAAAGTAGGCTAATCGTCAAAAAGTTGCAACAAATAAATTACAACAACACAATATTGAAAAAACGAAATAAGGGATAAAACATTTTTGTATTACATGCGTTTGCCTTTAGTGCTATCAATCTCTCTTCTCTCTTCTAACTCTTGGTAAGAAAGCAAATGTATAATTCCCAAAAAGAATAGTGGCGGACTTAGATTTCTCAAAGAAGCAATGTGTAGGATTTAGTGACATCCAGTGGCGACTCGTCATTAGGGGCAGGCACAGCCCCACCTAGTGTCAGCAGAAAGTAATTAAAATAATAATTCCAAAAATATGCAAAAAAAGATATCATAAAATATATTTTAAGATCATGTTTAGTCATCTGATTCGTCTCTACATTGCTGTTTTAGTCTGCATTCTTCTGATTAGTGTCTACACTGTGCCTATTGAGCCGTGTAGAGCGATGTGGGGCAAGCTCCGATCTAGCCCATCTCTCGCCAAAATGTCATCTCATAATTCAGAGCTGATTGGCTGTAAGTATGTGTACCGCGAAAAGTGTAGTTGTGAAGAGGAGACGAGAGAGAGCAGCGTATAGCGATTAAAATCAGTCAAACGGAAAGAAAAGGAATGAAGTTGACCATCTACTTCAGCTTTGGTAAGTTCATTTTATGTCATATATTTTGTTGATCTTCTGTGTTTTGCCTATAGGCTATTGCTCTGCTGGATCGATTGATATATTTTATTTTTACGATTGTGACCTCGGTGATGAGTGTCTGTGTTTTCCTTATATTTACAGTCTATGGTGTTTTAATGCTGAAGCATTACGGTTGTTGTTATTGTTAAGTATTGCTTTGTGATGGTGCCCTGTACTCCATGTACTAAGGTGCATTACAATATGACATCCCCACGCTGTGTATGTAAATGTATGCGCTCAGTGTTGCTCCGTGTTCTTCATTCAAGGCTTCCGACAGTATCGGAACCATGGATAGCCTACAGCTATTTGTTTACGTGTTTAAAAAAGCACCAGATGCTTATATATAAACATCTAAGTTGTTCGTGCCCCACCACTTTTGTACATATAAAAACGCCACTGGTGACATCTAGTGGTAAAGTTGCAGATTACAACTAGCTGAATACCCCTCCACCTACCCCTCCCTTTCCAGGTATGTTTTCTGTCGCCCTCACGTTACATAAAAGAGTAAACGGCCTCTCTAAAGCTTGATTTGGTCTGCCATTCTGGCCAAAATTATATTTATGGATATTGTATTTCACGTCTGCAAAAAGATCCCCTCTAATCATACAGACTGTGACACTGTTACGTTCATATACATACAACAGGCTTGTTAATCAGAGGCATGTTGACCTTGAAATTCTGATAGTAAAACCATTACATTTCAGTTTTCCCCCCTATTTAGCAAAACCTCAATCTTGATATTTTTTCTCAGCTCTCTATCAATCAATCAAAAATAATCACAGGGGGAAATTATCTGTCTCTGTTCAAAGGCAGAATAAAAAACTATACTGGTTTCCACACAAAACATGGACTTGAAGAGATACAGTTTATACACACGATCTTTCTTTGTTTTCTTGTTTTATATTGAAAAGTGTACACTCCCTGTGTTATGTCTGTTTTGACTTCCTGTCTCTGTGTTTTCCTTCCTGTTTGATAACCTGATTCTGTTCACCTGGTGCCCTCCCCAGCTGTGTCTTGTCCTGTTGATTAGACTTGCATGTATTTCAGTTCTGGTTTTCTGTCAGTTCTTGTCAGATTCTTGATGTTTGATAATGAGAGGGAGTTCTGCTTCGTTTTGTTTTATTGCCTTGTGTTGCCTTCCCAGCACTTTTATTCCTGGACAACCAATAAATGATTTTTCTTTAAAGATACTTTGGTGTACTGCACTTGGGTACACTTCACATGGATGAGACCCCAGTGGCTAATCCATGTGTTGAAGTACATTAGAGGCATTAGCATGTGAAAATTATACTTGAGTCTGTGAGCATATGAAGTAGAAATATTCGTTCTTATTTTTAAATGTTTACAGCGGAAACTGGAAGACATGGAGTTTCATCTTGTACAACTTTTAGGCCTTACAATCACGTGTTCCCCATTATTTGATTCCACACACTGACACCCACACTCCATGTTGGTTTTTGACTGACTGCGGCCCTCTTTTCCTCTCCAGAGTTTCTGAAGATGATGGAGAACGTCCAGTAATGAGTCCGTCTCGACATTCCTTGGTGACCCCTTCCTCAGAGAGAACACAAATGATGGAAAATTGCTCTGAGCCAAGTGTAAACGCTAAAGAAAACCTTTGCAATTACTTTCCTGAGACGTCAGAATGGACACAAGTGAAAAATACCTCCACCCCTTCTACCCCCACCCTCCTTCTCCTTCTCATATGAAACCCATGGGCTCTCTTAGGAATTCTATAAATATCCGTTAGAAACCTTTTAAGACGAAGCCCGTCCTCCTTGAGCCGGCAACCCAGCTGTCCCCCTTTGCAGCTGCTGGTCCTCTAGAAATGTTACACCAGCACCCCCACCCTCCTCCTCCTCCTCCTCCTCAAAACTAGATATCTTCTTCACCCTATACTGTACTTTCTAAATAAATCCGCTTTCTCCCTGTTCATCTTTGCAAATACTTCTGCCATGCACGCCTGACACGCATTATCTCATCTAAGTTTGATTCTTGTTACAGTAGGACCACATGCAGGATGTGAAACACTGACAAACAGGACCATGCACCACCCAGAACCTCCTACCTTTGCACACAAACATTGTTTGGTTCAACTACAACCTGTCCTATACCTATTCTAGTCAAACTATAGCCTGCTTTTTCAAACACATTTGCACAGATGCTCCCGTACTGATTTTTTTACGGACTAGTTATCTAGTTTAAATCAATAACTTCCAACTTTGTCCCTGGTCTTCACATCCCCCAGCACAGAAATCAAAGCCCCCATGGCTCATCCATGTCTCGAGGCGGTCACACAACAGAGGGGTTAATTGTCCCTTTTGGAAAACGCAGGTCTCCTCTTCTGGGTATATAGCCTGCAGGCCCCCCACCACTTCTCTACAGCAACACCCCTCCCCTTTTCTCCATGGCTGCTCCCCTCCATCAGCATCCTATCCTCCTCTCCTGCCTCTCACCTCGGGCCGTCCCTCCAGGAACCGCCCGCCATATAAGGAGCATCAGGTTGTGTTGATTAGGCACCGGGTGAGTCTGTCCTCCCTAAAATCTGCCTGCTATTCACGGCTAAAGGGGGGGGGGGGGGAGGCATAGAGTTGGGGGGATGGGTGAGATGGGGTCCAGCTCTATAGCATTTTTCTCCCTGTTTTGTGTTTCACGCCAAAATTGAAATGGCATCATCACAAATGCAACATATCCTAGTTTAAAATCTTAGCTTACCCTATACTGTTTGTATTGACAAAGCCGATGTAGCAGCACTGATGAGCGGCAACATACAACGTTTTATTTCTATAGTAGACAATATAGTTGAAATGTTGGTTACATTAAGGTTTAGTTATTTTATAGAGATCACCACTGAAAGTTGCTCTAGGGTCCTAATAAGAGTCTGGAAGTTGGATTGTTAAGTGTATTTTGCTAAATTAGTTATTTCTAGGAAATGCACAGTTCTTCCTCTGATCATCTGATATTTGACAAATCAAGAGATGTACAGTGTAATATTCTCACTATCTTTGCAGTATGTCCAAAACTTCAATCATTTTGGATTATTTTCAGTAGTTCATACCTTTTAACCTGATCTCAAAAACTCCCAATTTATATTCTCGACCCTGCAACTTAAAGAAACGAGAGCTTTCCTCTCCAAAGTGTGATTGGCTTGCCGTAGCCCCAGAACCCTAAAAGTTCAGGATACTAAATCTGTAGGCCTGTGAGAGGCAGGGGGCGGGACCTGGCTGCCCCGTTTAAAGTGTGTCAGAATCTTCACTAGACGTCTAGTCTCTCTGTTAGGGTGCACACGGATTGACCACTCCTTTGGACTTTTCTTTTTTTCCTTGGATAATTGGGGAGTAAAAGCTAATCCACAAACATGGTAAGACCGATTTTATGTGCAAACGGCCTGTTGATCTACACATCCTGTTAACCCACCTGTTAGTTATTGAGCCAGTTATAAAACCAAAAATAATGAAAGCATGTGAATTAGGAGGTTGATTGATTAATAAAGGCATTCTGAACGTGTCAGAAATAAATTGGCTGAGTGTTAAGAAGCATGTCTCATTCTGTCGAAAAATATTAATCTTGACCTTTTTCTGATAATTATATTTTTAATGTAAAGACTTTTTTTCTTAGCGTATTGTAGTAGGATTCCTATTAAATTAAAACGTTGTCAGATTCTGTTGCAAATCTTACCGATCGTGGTTCAGAGTTAAGATGGGGGAGTCGTTGGGGGGGGGGGGGGGGGGGGGTGTCAGCTGGGAAGGTGCAGATTCTGCTTATGCGACAAATTCCTCAGGATTAAATGTCTGCAGGCCATATACAGCGCGCGTAATGTGTTGAGCCCGAAATAGCTCAAGACTCCTCTGAGGCACGCTCAAGAATCCTTTTGAGACTTGGCCACTATATGCTGCACAAATCACTTATGACAGCATGTTATTACCAAAAGACTTATCAGAAAGTAACGTAAAAATAACAATTATATATCTATAGCATATTCCTCAATGTATTGTTTGTTTTGTGCGTACTGGTGGTTTGACTCCCCTGTATCGCCATAATGTTATTTCATAGGCTGATATTTCAGTGTTTAATTGATCAATTAAACACTGAAATGGCGAATGGAGTAGTGACAGCGTGGCTCCTGTTTTCTTCCAGACTGACGCGCAACAAGAGGCTCGCGGCTACCTGAGCGAGGAAATGCTGGCTGGTGAGTAGGCTACAGGCTACAGTAACGCGTTACTTAAGTAATCTCGTTACTTTGCCCAGGGGTCAGTAACCTAAGAACTTGCTAACAGTGGGTTGCAGGAAATACGTTATGTGAAGTGGACATGTTGATTTTAATAGTATTTTCTATTATATTATTGTTTTTTTAATATTATATTATTTACTTAAATATTAATACGGTGGTGTTAAGATAGAATACAGGGCGATAATATTCTCTAAAATAAAAATAATGAAAAATGTGAAATGTGTGGTTGCAAAACACGTTTTTATCACAGAAATGTAACACATTGCTAATCAGATAATAAGAAGCATGCTGTTTTAGATTGTCACACACCCCTATATATATATATATATATATATATATATCACGGTAAAATGTGTCATTCAGTTCCACCTCTTGTTATGTTAGTATGAGTGCAGTTAACACCCATGTTGCGCGCAACAGGATTATTAGCAGGATGTCAGCGTGGTTACAGCGTGTTACACCCCCGTTGTTCACACAGGTAGAATTGAATAATACGTGTTGAACAACCAAGAGGGCAATGCGAAGTAGGCTAGTTTTTGAATAACGAGACACATTTCTTCATCCAGAGTTCAAAGCCGCCTTCGACATGTTTGACACCGACGGTGGCGGAGACATCAGCACCAAGGAGTTGGGTCAAGTGATGAGGATGCTGGGCCAGAACCCGACAAGAGAGGAGTTGGATGAGATCATCGAGGAGGTCGATGAGGACGGTGAGCGGCCGATAATAAAGTGTTACACTGAAAGCAGCACAGTATGCGCAGTATGCCTAGTATTGTGCGCAATGAGTGTTTTACGCACAGACAAGAGACTCCGACACTCTATATGTAGTCCACATCACATCAAATAAACCAAGTTGATTGACAAAGCTACTACAAAAAAACTCTATATAGCATTATTTGGAACCCAAACTATCTGTGATTATGCGTTAGTTATGGGAGTATTACGCGCAGATGCGTAAAGTATATGACGTTGACCTCTAAACAGATCATTTAGCTCTTAGTTTTGTTTTACATTATATAAATCATTATATCACATGGATAGGGAATCATTTACGTTAGGATGTCCTTTCCCGTGGTTAATGCGTAAAATGTCCCCGCGCCATGGCACACGATATTGTTCGGGCCTGTTTGGGCTGACCATTGTTAATCAGTTATGTGGATCTTTATTACCCTCAGGTAGCGGTACCATTGACTTCGAGGAGTTCTTGGTCATGATGGTGAGGCTGCTAAAGGAGGACCAGGCCGGCAAGAGCGAGGAAGAGTTGGCAGAGTGCTTCCGTATCTTTGACAAGTACGTTCACGCTGTTACTGTCACGCTGTACTCATTTTAAACAGTAGTATTTTAGTTTGCTCTATTTGTTTGTGTACACAATCCTTTACGTGTGTGTTTTTGCGCAGGAACGGCGACGGCTACATCGACAGAGAGGAGTTCGCTCAAATCATCCGCAGCACCGGCGAGCCCATCTCAGAGGATGAGGTCGATGAGCTGATGAGGGATGGAGACAAAAACACAGACGGCATGCTGGACTTTGACGGTACGCATTTTTTGCTATTTTAAAGAATCCTTATATTTTTACAAATATTTTTACTTTATATTATGTACAAAACTTAGAAGAAAACACTTGATTACATAAATGTATCTCTAAGGTATCCGATTTTTTTAATAATCTTATATTTTTTCGTTGAACTACATTATATCTGATACTGATGTTTTAGTGACTTTAGTGTTAGTTGCTTATATATTAGCCTACTTATACTAGGTATATTTTGTAAAGCAATTATTTACTTATCCGGTTTCTTCTTTTTTTCCAGAATTCCTCAAGATGATGGAGAATGTGCAGTAAAACCGGAAAGACTCATGGACATTCCTCCTCCTCCTCCCTGTGAACCCCCATTCTGAACGCATCTGACCCCCACTTACACACCCCCACGCACTCCCTCTCCTCCCTACTCTCCATCTGGTTCACTGCCTCTCTTCTCCATCCTTAAAGCCATCCTCAACAGACAGCTAGGGCACTCGGCGGAGGGGGGGCCCTGGGGAGGATACCCTCTTCCCCAGCTCGCTTGTGAATGCAAAAGGATGCTGCGCTGACGCCTCACCCTGTGACAGGACGGCACGGCTGTAATGCAGAAATTTGCTGCACACACCTTTTGCATGCGTTGACAGTTGCGTGTCATAAGTGCCCCCCTCCCGCACCTGCTGGAAAAGCTCGGGTCTACTTAGAGATCTAGATAGAACGGCAGCATTCTACCTGCTCCTTAGACCAACGAATCCAACAACGTCACTGTACAAAGAAGTAAAGTGCTTGAACAGAATAAATGAGTTAACACACATGCTCACTTGTAGTTGGCTGTCATATTTATGGTCTGTGTAAAAAAAATGTTTTGAGGAAAATCAATAAAATCTGTTTGTTTCTTCCTTTTGTCCATCGTGTTTAAAACCACAGCAGTGTAGTCTTTATCACTATTGCTGAACACGCTGTAGACTGATTGGGGGAACTGCTTTGGAGCAAAATACTTTTTTAAGTGTAAGGAGATTGGTAAAACTTTTTTTAGGCCTGTATCTCCTGGCTATAGACCCCTGACTGTGGTTAAGAAATGTGATTATGCAATTATGAGGATAATCAGGGTTTAAGTCCTAAAAAAGCTGTGGATTATTTTCTAGTTTAATCAATTTTTCATTTTGTCTATAAAATGTCAGAATTAAATAAAAGTTTTCCATCAGACTTTCATAGGGTCTAAGTTGACGTATTTAACTTGTTTTTCAGAACCTTTCAAAAATAAAATCAAAATATTAAGATTAAAATAAAGCCGCAAATATCCACATTGAAAAGCTATGACAAGAGGATTTTGATTTTATGTTTAGAGACTAAAAACTTATAATTGCTAGTTAATGTTAGCTGTGGCATATGAGAAATAAAAGTTGGTTGGCTGTTAACCACTATTAGAGGGTTACGTTAACTAGTTTTTGTGATATTGAGCAATACATGTCACTTTTCTAGAAGGAAAAGTCGATTTAAATGTCAAGCTGTTCCTGATTTGGAAACATTTTGAAGGAATAATAATGTTGACAATTCATGCAGGAAAAAGGTTTGGACTCTTCCCAAAATATATTCTTGGTAAACAAGGATAGAGAAGATTTGTGTGGATGTTGTCCATGTGTTCTGGAAATGAATAAAACTACCATTCTGTCAAGATATTGGTAGATTTAATCAATCATTTAAATGGGGCAAAATTGAGAGAATTTGTGTTCCTTTCTATGTTGAGCCCCTGGCATGTTTAACATAACTTAATGTTATATATTCATCCTGTCATTTGCTTTTAAATAAACACGCACCTATGCATGCGTTTGATCTGGATGTATTTGCTATGTTATCAAAGAAACAGTCTCTTCTGGGTATTCTTATATATTAACATTAATGACTGTACATATTAAAACAACAATTCTTTATTGAGAATCCCAGACAGACAGTATGAGAACAGGTAACAATGTGTGTCTCTGCCATACCACCATACGAAATAATAAACGTTAGATCAGAAAAAACAGACTTTGGACAGCAAGTCAAGTCTGAACACAGAACAGCCATTACAAATAATTTAACAGCCACATTTTGTTTATGAGCCATAATTAGCTTCATCGAAAGCTTTGCGGGCTCTCTTCAGCTCCTCGTTCATGGTCAGCAGGTCTTTGACTCGGGCGAACTTCCGAGGGTCCTTCCGAATTAGAAAAACGATGTCCTCCACCTGGACACGGCCCTGGCGTCCGATAGACATGGCTTTGTGGGTCATTTCGGTGACAAACTCGATAACCAAGTCCTCCAGAATATCCACAGACTCAGTATACGGGTTCTGGTCGTCTCCAAATCCGTACATCATGCACCGGAGCTCCTTGGAGAAGAGCCTCTTCCTCTTCCCGTGGCCGCAATCCACTCCGCCGGACCCGTCGTCCATCTCCTCATCGTAGCCAGTCTCGTCCTCCTCATCCGCCATTCTGCTGAAAAACACAAGAAAACTATAAAACAAAACTCAACTAGAAAAACGCCTTATCATCGAGCCTCATCATATATGCTAACAAAACAATATATGCGTGTGAAGTAAACAGAATACCCACATTCGTGTTTCATTTACCTTGTAGTTCAGCGCAGCACTGAACACAACATAACAGACTTTCTGTTGACTTCCGGTTTCTTCTTCTTCTGTTGTTTTAAAGGAGGTGCATTTCTTCCGGTTTTCTTCAACTGGAAGTTATTTGGGGAGAACAGAGGAGTGCTGTAGAGAGTACTGCCGCCTAGCGGTTATTTTACTTAGGAGTCATTTCTGCTCACCGCTACATACAGTTTAAGGTTGATAAACGAATGTTCTTCAGCTATATATTCAACCCCAGGTCAACATGACTAACGGTAGGTATCTTTAAGCATATTTCCTCTCATACTTCCCTTATTTTTCTTTAGTTTGCTGCCAGCAAATGTTGTTGTGTTGCAGGCCAAACTCAACTTAGAAAGATAACTATTTAACATACCAGTGTCTATGTGGTTCACCGCCATGCTACATTATAAATTCACCACTGGAAGACCGCGTTAATTAAATCTCACTTCCTTTGGGTGGGCCACATTGAAGAATGGTTCACACTCATTCGAGCAAAGTCTGCGGTTGTAATGCTTGTGACTTGTAAGTGAGAAATAAACCCGGCCTGCAGAGATGTATCAATGGAGTTCGCTATGTGGGTGTCGCCATACAAAAACAATGACACGTCCCGGTTCGGCGCACTGTCACTATTTGCAGAAGGCAGGGGATGTTGACAGCTTAAATAAACGTTATTGTCTACGCGAAGACATAACGGATTTGTTTCTTTAGAGAGTTAGCTAGCGTTAATTAACCTATACCAAATATACAATAGCAGGCAAATATCCACTAATGGGCTCCCGTTATAAAGTTACTTTGGTTACTAACAACTGGACAAACTCAGCATCTGCCATCTGTTGAGGGCAACCACTACACTGGCTATTGGTGAGTTCATTAGCTAATATAAGACGATGCTCTCTAGTTAATAATAGTGAACTGTTTATAGTTTGTAGGCTAACTGTGGCTAATGTGGGGGAATCTTGCTTACGTGGTTAAACAGCTAGCTAATAGTGGTTGCCAACTTAAGCTAACACTAATGTTGCCATTAAGCTAACAGTGCAGCAGGCTAATGTATAACTCTAATAACTAGCTAACTATCTAGCTACTTGTTCAGGTGTAACATCCCTATTCTCTGAATCAGAAACAGGTTTTTTTTTTACCAAGGTTTACACATACGAGGGATTTATCTTGGTGTATATAAACACAGTTAAAGAAGATGAAGTGTAAGAAAAACAACCAAAACTATTATAACATAATAAAATATAGGGAAATAAATAAATGAAATATAAATACACCAACAAATCCGTACAGTATCATATGAAAATACTAATAAAATAAAACAATACATGTGCAGTATTGTTATGTGGAGTAGTTTAGTTTAGTTTATTTTTTTCGAGCGTGTAAAACCAAAGAAAATACAAATGAAACAAAAGGTGATACAGACATGATACAGTACTATACAAATGAATGCAATAACAAAACGAAACATTTAATTAATAATTGAATAATCTGTAGTATCATTGTCTGATATCAATAATCAACAAAGCTTTAGCTAATTACACGTCCGAAAAGGGGTCGGAAGAAGTTTACACTTATTTAATCCGACCCCTTCTCCCCCTTTTTTTTTTTTTTTTTTTTTACATCTTAATATATGTTAAACGCGCACATGACCAATGAGGGCACGAGATAAGTTTGTGCACAAATGGAAGGCTGACAGGCAGGTAGGCCATCCAGTTATTTTAGCCGGGCCGGCTAAAATGATTGGTCGTACTTTTTACAGTATTACGGCTTCCACAGATGACATTTTTTTATGGATTTTTTGTCAAAGCACTGAAGATATTCATTGCTATCGGGATGTTAAGAGCATTCCATGGAATATAACAAAAAGTGTATCTCGAGCCGGTTTCTCAAACTTACCTTCCCCACCTTTAACATACAATATAAATGTATACTTATAATCTTGAATAATTTATATAATCATTCATATAATATATACAGGCAAGTTAGGACAATGGTCTCTATATATGTATATATATACATATGTACATACACAAATTCATACAAACACAAATTCATAAATAGAATACAAAACAAGAATATATACAGTTATGGTTTAGCAATTTCATCCCTGTACCTTGTGAGAATTGTGTCTTTATACCTCTTTTTGAATAGTTTTATGTTTGGACATCCCTTTAGCTCCTCACTCAAATTGTTCCAGATCTTCACCCCACAAACAGAAACACAAAAACTTGTCTTTGTTTTTTGCGCACCCTAACATTAGTGAATATAAATGAACCCCGTAAATAATAATTCCCTTGTCTTTCATTGAACAATATCTGAATATTTCCAGGTAATTGAACGTTTTTTGCCTTAAACATGATTTGTGCGATTTGGAATTCAACAAGATCTGACAGTTTTAATAATTTTAGCTCTAAGAATAATGGGTTTGTATGATCCCTATAGCCGACATTTTTAATAAGTCTTATTGCTCTTTTTTGTAGAATAAATAGGGATTGTGTTGTAGTTTTATAATTACTGCCCCAAACCTCTGCACAGTAACTTAAATGAGTAGGCAGCTGTGCAGATATTAACACCTTGTTTTCCCCCCCACCTCTTTCACCTTTGTCTCCCCCCCCCCCCTCTCTTGAAGCTATGGCTGATAGGAAGGGCTGCAGATTCAGTTTGGAGATGACATTTCTACATTAGCTGTCTTTTCTGGATCTTTCCTGATCCTGACAGACCTGTATGGCGTGCCCGGTCCAGTTCCTCTGCCGGGGAATTCGCACTGTTGGATTAGTTCTCCTATACTATGCCTTCTCTATAGGCATCACATTCTATAACAAATGGCTGATGAAGGTAAGTGAAGAGGTCTTAGGAACAGGACATGCAGGGTTTTCTCTTGGGTGTTAAAATCATCAAACCAGATTAACATAGCGTTTCTGTGTTTTTCTCACAGGGCTTCCACTATCCCCTCTTCATGACATTAGTTCATCTCGCCATCAACTTCTGCCTGACTGCTCTGACTCGAAGGGCCATGCAGTGCTGGACAGGGAAACCTCGCGTCATTCTGAGCTGGACAGATTACCTCCATAAAGTGGCTCCTACAGGTGAGATTTTAGTGGAGAGTTTTACATAACTGTTCAGAATGCATCAGTCTCTGCAGCGAACACATGATAAGAAAAGCAACTGATAGTCAGCTCTTATCATGTTCAGTTTACTTTGACTAAAGTCCATTTCGACGCATACATCACATGATGTAATGTATGCGTCGAAATGGACTTTAATTTACATCACACATGAGGGGATAGTAAAAGATTAAAATAAGCCCACATTGCAATCATCACAAGCTTATATATATATTAAACCTGATGTGTTTTTAATTGGGCAGAAACTTTTGAAGTGGATTGCACATTTTCTGTTTTGTCTTTAAAGGAGGCCTTTTATGCGCATTTTCAGTTACACAAATGTATTTTGACATGTCTCCATGCTTTAGTGTCCAAAAAGCTCTTTATTTTTCTCATACTGCCTGTGCTGCAGCACCTCTTTTCACCCTCTGTCTGAAACCAGAGCCCAGTCTGCTCTGATTGGTTAGCTGCCTGGCTGGCTCTGTTGTGATTGGTCAACTGCTTAGAGATGTCCGACCCCTTAGCAAATCACGTACAATGTGTTGGAGTGCTTGCCAATAGATCCGTGAGTGTTAGATAGTGATGTCATAATGTTACTGAAGTAGGGTTGGGTACCGAAATCCGGTACCGGTTCCAACATTTCGATTCCATCGGTATCGTTTAGAAATGTTAGTTTCGGTTCTGCTTATCGATTCCTAAGGAAATGCATCTCGCCGCTTTCTGTACTGTTAGACGGGGGCCGGGCGTGTAGCGAGCACATGATGTCAGTATTGTTTATGAAGCAGGGTATAGAAAAAAATGATTGAAATGAAAATACAATGTATGTACTTTTACAAACAGTGAGCAGCTGGGCAGCTGTAGCATGTGTATTGACATGTGTTGGACACAGACTGTATGGTTGGACTCTGTCTCACAGGCAGGTTGCCGTGTAACATCAGAGGAGACTGGGCCAATTGTACATTCTCAAACTGCACCACTTAGAACTAACTAAACAATGCAGAGATTATTTTAATATAATTGTATTCAATAACCGCAACAAAATTAAACAGTATTAAAGGAGAGGTGTCATGGCCATTTCCACTGATCATAATTCCATTGTTGAGGTATACTAAAATAGATTTATACTGTGCATTTTTCCAAACTCACATTGGTTTCTCATACAGCATCTCTGTAAAGTGTGTGTATTCAGCAGTATTCACTCTCTCCACTAAACGGCTCGTTGTAGCTCCAATAGCTAGCCCCCACCCTCCCTGTGAGCACAGTGTGCTCTGATTGGTCGGGACGTTGTGAATCGCGCTGAGCTCCGTGGAGGTGTTGTTTCCTTGTTTAGGATACATAGCGAAACACAGCCAAACTCATCCTGAGCACACACAAAGTCACATCCGAAGTAAAAACAATAAGTGTGGCTTGATATTGAGTAAGAAAAAGGTTGATAAACGCTGTGAGAATGGGTCTGCAGAGAGAATTTCGCCGCGATCTCAACTGTCTGTTATCAGCCTGCAGCCAGGGAGGAGAAATCAGCAGAGCTGCCTGCACTGAATGTGTGTGTGTGAGGAAGTCCGTCAATCAGCGGGGGCTTAGCGTAATGGCTCCGCGGACGTAACTTAACGGCTCCACGGATTGGTCCATTTGGTTCCGGGGACCGCATGACCGTATCGCGTCATAGCTCTGGGCGTGGCTACTGGGTATCCACACGTCACGATGCCCAGGAAGAACATGAGAAAGTTCCAACGAGGCGTTTTGGGGAGGTATTTTCTGTGTTAGAGTTTTACTCCCTACAGGGTGTACTTTGAGGGTTTTTGACTCTGCAGACCGTTTACATGCAGAAAAACCTTCATAACACACAAGGGGACGGGTAATAACCGGAAAAGCATGACACCTCTCCTTTAAGTGATTTGTAAATAGGAATACAGATATGACTTTATGATTTCATAAATATATTTTTCTCCCAGTGAAATTGGCATGGGACTTATTTTTACCCTCTCAAAGAACCGGAATCGAGAACCGAAAAGAACCTGAATTGAAAAGCAGAACCGGAATCAGAACCGGAATCGTTAAAATCCAAACGATACCCAACCCTATACTGAAGTAAGAAAAGGAGTCCAATGGAGGAGATTCAGACAGTGGGGTAGGGCAGTGTGTGGGAGAGAAACTCCCTCTAAAGGGAACACAGGGATTTTAGCCTTTGCAGACCATTTACATGCACAGAAACCTATAGAACACACTACAGGAAAGGATAATCCCAAAATGCATAATAGAGCCCATTGGACATTTCACAAGACCACATGAACCGTGTGTTATGGAGGCATATTGAATGATAATGCATAATGCAACACATTTTTCTTTAGGATGCATTTCATCAACAGTCATAAAACATTATAGTTAGTTGAAAGTGTAAAATGCCAACATTTGAATGGCAATAACACGTTATATATGTGGTAAGTGTTAAAGATGGTTGCAAAGTAGTGATACAAGAACCCCATTTATTGCATTTGTGTTTAACTCCTCAATTCTGTCCCTATGACCCAGCCTTGGCAACAGCACTGGATATTGGACTCTCCAACTGGAGCTTCCTCTTCATCACCATTAGCTTGTAAGTGTTTTTCTTCAGATTGTGTAAAAGAGGATGCTACTTTAATTCAAACTGAAACACTTAAGGTTATACACATTGTAAATACCCAGTTATGGTTTGTTCCATACTTAAGTGTGGCTATTGTTTTGTGTCATTCAAGGTACACCATGACCAAATCTTCAGCAGTGCTTTTTATCCTTTTTTTCTCTCTGGTGTTTAAACTAGAAGAGCCGGTGAGTGACCTTTTTCTCCAACTTCAATCACTTGTTGAAATCATTTGTTGATATCATTCTTTCTTCCTTATTATGTTCCCTTCATAGTTGTAGTGCATAGTGGCTGTAAGGAAATGGCCTTTTATCAGATAATGTGCAGCAAAGGCAGAAGTGAAAGTGATTGTTGGGACAAAGGGCAGAAACCTGCGGAGTGTTCTCGTGATTAAATCAAATTGATTTGACTAACCCTTCACCGTCTCACCTCACTCAGTGCCTGGATTTGAAAGGAGCCACAGAAAAGCTTGTATGAAATAGATCCTATCACCGCTCTGATTGTTAGAGCACTGCAGAGTAAAGAGGCAGATAATGGGTGTCCTGCTGTGTGGACATTCTAAATGGGACCATATATGTTACGTAATTATACGTTATATATATCTTTTTATATAAATGGACATATTCATATAAGGCTCACATGCAGAGTGAGATGTGAGCATTAAATCACCAGTCTCCTAGCAACAACAACCAATGCCTGCATGAAACTTTAGTGAAGAGAGTTCTTAAAGTTGACATTTAGGCAATAGTTACATTTAACTAAGTTTTATCAGCACATAGCTGAAATAATGATATGTAGTATCTATATCCTTCTGCAGTCTAATTTGAGGGGAACTAGAATTAGCAGGACACATATGTGTGGGTTTGCTAATGTGGGCTGTATAGTCATTTATTGACATTTACAAATTGTGCTACAGATAATGTTCTGTTAATGCTAGATTATTAAAGCAAGCAGCAAAGCCATGGCCAGCTAATCCATTTAAACTGATCACATTATTAGTGGCAAATTCAGTTCCCATTCATGAACAGAAAAGAGCTAAGGAAGGCCAACACAGCCTGAAGATGTGTGACATCACTAAGAAAGCCCATTCAAAATATGATATCAACAAAATATATGTAATATACTTTAAAGTGCGTGATTGTAATTGTGGACAGATACACAAGTGCTTTTTCCCTTTTCACTTTCTATCCATTAAAAAATGGATTTCTAGCCTTTTTGGTCTTGGATTTCCTCTTTTTTCTCTTACTGTCTCTCCTTGTCTCTCTCTTTCAGAACCCATTCCTGGTCGTGGTGGTCCTGCTGATCTCCAGCGGTCTGTTCATGTTTACATTTGAGTCCACCCAGTTCAACCTGCAGGGCTTCAGCATGGTGCTGCTGGCCTCCTTTATCGGCGGGATCCGCTGGACCCTCACTCAGGTCCTCATGCAGAAAGCAGAGCTGGGTCAGTGTTGAGTCACACTCTGTAAAATGATTCAATTATGTGTAGCAGTCCTGTTTATAGGTGCTTTTCTTAAACACAACCAACACTTACATTCGAATAGGACCTTTGGCACACACATCCAGCCACAATACTCACACCGGAGTACTTTTCCCGTTTAGTTCCGTTAGTACCCCTTATTTTGCGTTCACACCAAAAAGAGTACTTAGTGCAGGGAACTTTTACCCCCATGTTTAGTGCCTGCTTGAGAGGTGGTACTATCCTGGGGGGAAAAAAGTACCAATTGGCTGGGCGAATTGCAAACCACGCCCCGTAAAACTCTGAAAAGTTTTGTGAAGCCGCCATTGTATTTGCTGGCATTAGCATTATTAGCATTAGCATTAGCACCAACGGAGAGAGACTAACTTATGGCAACACAAAAAAAAACATGGGAGCGGTGGAGATGAGGAGGTGTCGGCGTTCTGGCGATTTACTCGGAAGGCTTGAGTAGAAGCTGCTGAGAGTCCCAGCAGCTTCTACTGAAGCCAGTCCCCAACTCCGGGGACATCCGGCCGGGGACTTCGGGTGGCAGCATACGCCTTGAAGTGGTTTGCGGCCTGCCAGTAAACCCAAAGCAGAAGAAGAAGACGAAGTGACGTCAGCGGCTTCATTTGCGTAATCTTCCCTCAGGGAACTTATTCCGGTGTGAACGCGATCTGTACTTAGTTCCATGGGGGTACTAAGTGCCAGGCACTAAGTGCCGGCACTAAGTACAGCAAAGTACTTGAAGTAAGATATGTTAAAGATGAATAAACCATTTCTTTAAAACATTTGAAAGTGGCATGTTGAATAGAAAATGTCAAATGATAAAAATGTTTACAACAAGATTTTGGCTGTTTAGTCAAAAGACTTGTCAAACTTTTCATCTAGTCATTTTCATTGATTTTGTGATAAGCAAAGCAGCCCTCTCGCCTTGAATGAATGATAGATAATATAGTGGCCATTTATATTTACCAATATAATATATATATATATATATATATACATATATATATATATAAAAAAAGAATCGGACAAAAACCTCTGACTATTCGGTGCACCTCATTTTGTGTTTTCTTTAATGTTTTGCCATGAACCTGAGGAATTGATTTTGAAGACTGATGCAAGCCTATTACCAGTACTTTCTCCTCTTAATTCTTTTGTTCTGCTCTCCTCCAGGCCTTCAGAACCCAATAGATACTATGTACCACCTCCAACCTCTTATGTTTGTTGGCCTCTTTCCCCTCTTCCTGTATAATGAAGGTGAGTACAGTCTTAATCTGTGCTTTTCAAATCCTTGCTTTGTCCTCACTGCAGTCAACTAAACTAAAGGTACTTGTGGAAAAATGTCATTAACCATGTTTCTGTTTGCATATTTGTATGCACATTTGGAAGTATTACATTGGCAAGTGTCAGTAAAAGTCCCTAAACGGGGAAACAAAGTTTTACATGTGTTTGTTTGATTTGTGGTTTTGACCTTTGTTTATTGAACCCAGAATTTGAAGAAGGAAATGCCCACTACATTTAGTATACAGTATTCCCCCCCCATAAAAACAAGTATGGCATTTTGTAAACAAGTGTTACAAACCAACACATTTAAGGAATATTTGGTAGTTATGACCAGGGGCCTCATTTATAAACAATGCGTACGCACAAAAGATGGCGTACGCCAGTTTCTACGCACTGTTTGCGATTTATAAAAATCTAACTTTGACGGGAAAATGTGCGGTCCTCCACGCAAACTCTGACCCATGCGTACGCACTAAGCACAAAAACGGGAGAGACGAGAAACTGCGACACCGTTGGCAGAAGGAAGAATGGAGAGAAATATGTGGAAATAATACCATAAATAAAATGTTACCTCTCATTTATCATATATGAAGAATTCATTTTCAAACATTGATTAAAGCCAATCTTAAAATGATTAAACAAACGCCTGTTTGAGACTCCTCAGTCCACACAAAAACATAACTTGGAGAAATAAATAAATACGGAAATGTTATTGATCACCCCTCGATTATGTTCTCTTGTTAAGAAATGTATTCTCATAAATGATGCTGTAAGCAGGAGGACAGAATTACTTTAAACTGACGCCGTTTTGCATTTCTATAGGTTGTATAGATACGAGCATGGTTTTATATACTATCACGTTTAATCATGTTTTATGCCATTCGCCAAGACTTGATAAGTCGCTCGTAAAACACAGGAGGTATGGAAACTAAGAACACCATATGTGGTAAATTGTACAGCTAATATAACACAACCCATTAGTTGTATTTCCTTTAACTGGTGGATTATGGATATATAGTTGCTGATCGACAGCTGGAACACAAACCACCAAATACAAACAAATAATTCAGATCCAGTCGCCATGACTCCACTCCGGAGGGATTCCCCGATCATTTCTTACAGTTTCTCATCAAGGGGGTGTCTCCTGTCCCCGGTACAAACACACTGCCTGAGGAAGGTTAGGCTATGTGTATTTTTTTTTGTCATTAACTTTTTTCGGACCACTTATTTATTTATTTTGGAGACGATCCGACCTCCATGCTGCTACTCTGGTTCAAACTGCATCCACCAAACAATATGATTGATCTCGACCTCCCCAAAAGAACCAAAATCTGACACGGTGTGAGATGTCTTTTTTAGCTGTTCGGTCGTAATTTCCTGCGATCTTCTTCATGCAGTCAGTCAAAATGAATGAATGAATGGGCGTTTCTTTGACTATTTATAGGCAATTATGGGCGTTACGAGAAGCCCGCAAAAGCTGCGCCGCATTTCGAGTTGATTGTGATTTATAAAGGGAAACAGGCGTAGGATGTGCCGTACGCAAGTCCTGTGCCGGTACGCAGTCTTTTATGAATCGGAAAGTGTCGGTGCGTATTTATGTGCTTTGTCCTACGTAAGCAACCTTCCTACGCCAATCCTACGCAAGGCTTTATAAATGAGGCCCCTGGACTGATGTCAGCGAAAAGATTTAACTCAGTCAAATTGAAAAATAGCATAAATACATTATTTTCTGGTAGTTTTTGTTGTTTTTTGATGGGGACATTTTTGTCCTCATAGGAAACAACTTTTTCAAATCAGAATTGGTTTTGTTACCAAGTAGGTTTACACATATGAGGAATTTGCTTTGGTGTAAATGGTGATACAGAAACACAGACAGAAGAACAGGTTGTTGTTTTTTTTTTTTTAAATGGGGCGAAAAATAATACTATCATAAAAACTATTTTAAAAACAAGTGAGCCATAAAGGCTATGTGACCTTTACAATGAATTTGACTTGAACATCCTGGTGTATGAATGGACCGAGAACTTGTATATAATCCATGGAAACATCATTGTACATTCTTCTCTCTCCATCTTGTTTTCAGGACTGAGCCTCAGCACCTCAGAAAAGTTATTCCGAGTGACGGAGCTCTCTCCTCTCCTGTATTCTCTCATCACGCTGAGCATCGGCGGCATACTGGCCTTCGGTTTAGGCTTCTCAGAGTTCCTGCTGGTCTGCCGGACCTCCAGCCTCACGTTATCCATTTCAGGGATTTTTAAGGTATTTTTATAATTGTTTTAAGTAAAAACGTCATACACAGGACTACATCTTGTGTCCTAATGTTGTTCAGATCTATCCAATGACCTCTTTCTTTCTCTCGATGTGTGGTGTTGTTTTCCTGTAGGAGCTGTGCACTCTACTGTTGGCAGCTGCTCTGATGGGAGACAGAATGAACATGATAAATTGGCTGGGATTCGCCGTGTGTCTGTGTGGCATTTCATTGCACGTGGGACTCAAGACATATTATTCCAAAAGTAGGTGTTCATTTCATTGTTATTGTTCATAATACTGTTAAAATGTATTTTGGCAATAGCATATTAATAACCCTGTGCTCTACTAGGGAATTTTTTTATTTTTCATGTTTCATTTTTCCTTAACTTAAAGTTAAATGCATATGGCATACATTTTGGTAAGCTTGTGAGCTTGTTAACATTTAACTTTAAAGGGCCCATGTCATGCTTTTTCTGGTTATTACCCGTCCTCTTGTGTGTTATGTAGCTTTTTCTGCATGTAAACGGTCTGCAGAGTCACAAACCCTCAAAGTACACCCTGTAGCGAGTAAAACTCTAACACAGAAAAGACCTGTCTATGCTGCCCCAGAACGCCTCGTTGGGGTTTTCTCTTTTTCTTCCTGGGTACAGTGACGTGACCATGCCCAGGTCCAAATGGACCAATCCGTGGAGCTCCTCACACACACACACTCACTCAGCCGTATCTTTTCTCAGCCGCGATACTCCGCGGAGTTTCGCCGGCACACTCAACCTTATATTTTCTCAGCCGCAGCTGCGTGGATCTCCACTCACAGTTCGCCACACACTCACGTGTGTGTGCTCAGGCTGAGTTCATGCTGAGTTTCGCGTTGTCTCGCTGTCTCCAGGACACGACACCAGTAATCCAGCTCACACTGTCGGCTCCTCGAGTCTCAAAGGGCGGAGCAGCGAGCACCGCAACGTCCCGCCAACACGGCACCCAGACCCCACGCAGCATTCTCATCTGTTTGTCATTACTGGTGTTATTTTCTGGTTGCTAACGCCATTGTAACACATAATCACTGATGTTCCACTGTAACGGTGGTGAACTCATCAGAACAGAGTGGGCGAGCTGACCAATCAGAGCACAGTGGGCTCATAGGGAGGGGGGGGGCAGGAGCTCCAACAAGGCGTTTAGGACAGAGAGTGAATACACATACTATACAGAGATGCTGTATGAGAAACCAATGTGAGTTTGGATGATAAATCTATTCTAGTATACCTCAACAATGGAATTATGATCAGTAGAAATGGCCATGACATGGGACCTTTAACATTTTGTTCTATTTTCCCGACAGATAAGGGACCATCTTTAAGGCAGCTCAACAGTAAGAGCCCGGAGCTGGAGCTGCCATTACTGCGGCAGAACGGAGACGATTCAGCTGCTGAATTCAACGATGAAGATGAGGAACAAGAAATCACTCTGCACTAACAGCATAGGATATGGGCCCACGATTTCCATTGTCTTTCCTTTACTCTTCACCAGATGTTTTGAACATTGACATCAACGTTGGGACACACTGCCACCAAAAGAGTAACTAACTCTTCTCCTACACCAATCATGTCTTCAGGCCAAGCCCGGGCCTCATTATGTAGCTCTACATTAACTGGGGACTTGACACAAGTTATGATCTTGTGCCTTAGGGAATCTTCTGAAAAGGTAGCTAATACATGCAAGTGTCAACAAAGTATGATAAATGGGGAACGAGAGGGTGTTGAAAGAATACTTTGACAGCTTGAATTGTAGTTGGTCATTTGTCTTTGCTAGATACTTGTCATCTTCTTGCATTGTTGTAAACCAAAGGATGAGAAATAGTTTGATGGGGTTACACATGGGTGCAAACTTGTCAAATGTTGGTGAAAATCGTTGTTTTGAATTCAGACTACCGCAAAAAAAATCTGCGTTTGAGTTGTGACATTGCTCGTATGTATGAAAACACAGTTTAGCTTTAGGTGTAACTGACCTGTTGCTGGGGTGCACTCTGGTATTATATACAATTACTAATCTTACTTTTTTCGTAAGTGCCTTGAACTGATGCTGCCCTATACATTAATTTTGAAGCTGTAATATGACACATTTTAAAGCTTATTTTCAACACATTTTCTTCTCTGGCGGGCCTTAGGGGTTTCATTTTTTCTTTTTTCTTAACCTTTTTCACCCGGGTGACTTTGCACCCCTGTTTTCCAGTGTCTGGTTTAGGAAAAATCCACTTCAAGTGAAGGTGTCCCGGTATCCCTGGAACCCAGATTGGGTACAAGGGTAGCGTCATTTCAGATTCAGTATTATGTCATTTCTATCCGTTAGTCATGTAGCCCGACTTATTTAAATGTTACTGTGTAAAAACTAGATCTGAGTTAAACACTGCACAAAAGAAATCAATACATGCAGATACATTTAAAGGTTTGTAGGGCAGCAAGTAATTTACATTATCAATTAAAAATATATATTCAGATACCAGGAAGAGGACAAAGAATGCATCAAACCATCACATTTGAGAAGAAAATAAATAGGAAATATTTGGCATCTTTTTCTTCAAAAATCACCTTAATGATGAATGAATTGCTGATTAAGACCAAAGAATGAGTCAATGTCTGGACTGGTGGGAGAAAGCCCCTTATAACATGCTATGATGGTGTATGTATTGATATTGGAAGATGTCACAATATGATCATTTTAATGATGGTTACTTTAAAAGCTCATTTCATTCAAGTAAAACTCAGCTGGGTTTGAGACCACTTATTGAGTCTAAACGTAATGGTATCTAGCCATTATGTAAAGAGTTGTGAAATGGCTTTGCCTTAATGTGCCTTGTCGATGTGACAGCAGTCAATAAGCCTCATTTCAAATAACTATTTAGGATCATAATGGAATCCAGGATTGTGTAGCTGAGGTTATTGATATTAAAGCCATTGCACAGGAAAAACATTTTTGTAAATTATAGAATTGTACAAAATTCAGGAAAAAAATGACTTTTTGAAAATGTTTGTTTTTTCTTTTCAGAATAACACTTTAAAATGTCTGATTTACAGGGACGGAAGATGCCAAAATAAAAGAGATACATGAGTCAAATGAATTATTTGACATTAAAGACCATATCTTCTGCTGCAATGACTGCGATTGAGTTACACAATATAACTTAAAAGACATTACCAGCCCTGACCTAGTTGACCTGCCAGCCTAGATTTATAGTTTAGCCTCAGAGTATGGATGCCTTCCAACACAGCTGTTTTGAAACTATTTAAGCGTACTCTAATGCAGTCTTCATGGAATAAGAAGTGCCTGAGATGGATCCATCTTCTCTGCAAGGTATTGGTTTTCAGCCACTGCACTATGGTCACCAGGGTGTGGTCAAATAGATGAGTAACTGAATACAAATTACTAGAAACATTTTGTAATTTGTTAAATGGATTGCCTTACAAATGATACAGTTAATATTTGAGTATAAGTATTAAGTATTAGATACCCCCTTAGGAAACGAAAAGCGGTTTATACCTGCACCTTTAGGGTATTTACTGGGTGCTTGCAGGGTATTTTAGAGGAAATGAGTCATTGCTTATACTCTAAGTATTTTATATAACATGTATGACACCAGGGCCGTATCCACCATTGAGGTCACCGAGGTCCGGACCTCGGTAATAATTTCCGAGCTGCGTATAAAAAAACTTGTGAAATAACGGCACTAAACGGGGTTCTTTGTAGTACTTCCATTTACTGACAATGGGGGGCGCTGCATAACTACGTAGCCTCGATTAAAGCAAACAGAAGAAGACGACATGTATCAACAAACCACCGCAGCCCGGACTTGTATCGGAGCAGCGGAGGAGTGATGAGGTATCTAGAGATCTGAGTCCAGCGGGCTGCTTGTGTTTCTGTTCATCAGGACATCATATGACCAGCAGATCCTGTGTGAACGCTCTACGTTAGTCAGTGGACGTCTGACAACATGCACACTAACTTATATTGCAGCTATAGGCTATACTTTGGTTTAAATTGCGGGAATAAACAAGCTAGAGAGCTACAGTTAATTATATTCATCCAATGTCAGAAGGATTACCTTTTAACAAACGTTTTAATGCTTTTCTTTCATTTCAATTTGAGTAAAACATTGAAGATATAACATTGTATTGTTTTCTTTTTACGCTGACTCAGATATAATGAAAAGACTACGCCAGTCGAAGCTCAGCTTTGGTAAGGAAGAGACAGGACAGGCAGAGAGAAAGAGAGAGAGAAAGTGATGGAAGTCAGGGAGGAACTGCAGGTACAGTCACACAAAATAATGTAGGCTTAATAACCCCATCTATCTAGCTATCTAGTTATCTATTTATCTATCTATCTATTTATCTATCCATCTATCTATTTATCTATCCATCTATCTATCTATTTATCTATCTATTTATCTATCTATCTATCTATTTATCTATCTATCTTCATTTACAATATAGACAATAGGCATACTTTTAACAACATACATCTATTGCAGTTATGATGTCATAATAACATACAATTGTATAAAACACAATTTGCTTACATCTTTGTTCTCTTTTGAGAATCAAACAAAACAGATTTTTATTTTAAAAAGAATGCAAACAAGTGAAATGAACTAAATTGCTGAATTGCTTTTAATTCACTGGCAGGAGCGACAAGTGAGGAGGAGCAAAAAGTGAACAACGAGGGAGAGACTGAACAAAGAGAAAGAGTAGAGGACAGAGAGAGTAATGAACAGGAAGAAGACAGAGAGACTAAAGAAGATGGAAGAGAGGGGGCAGGTTATGGAAAGGAGAGAGACATGGAAAATGAATGTTGACAATGTTTTGTGATCATTTTAGCCTCTTCTGCATGTCCAGATCATTAATAGTAACAATCAACTGATTCTTATGCATTACACTTTCAAAAATAATTTATGCTGCAGCCCACTGACATGGTTTGAAATCAATATATTATCCAATTTGTGACCCCCCACAGGACTTAAAAAGCACCTAACTAGATCATGGAAATCCCAAAAATCACGGGGGAGTACACCCCCGAACCCCCCTAGCATGTTTGGACCTCGGTATTTAGCAAATCCTGGATACGGCCCTGTATGACACTGATGTGTTTTTCTTTTGGGATGTGTCTAAAAACGAATAAACAGGTTACCTGGGGTAAAAAAATCTTTCTCAATTGCACAGCTATACAAATGTTGTATTGATATCTAAGGGTGGACAACTTACAGTTATACAGTTTGAAAATGAAGCAATAACAAGATATGTGCTGTTCTTTTCCTCTTTCAATTACATTACATTACATGTCACTTGTTAGACGCTTTTATCCAAAGCGACTTACATACTCAATACTGTGGACAATCCCCACAGGAGCAATTTGGGGTGAAGTGTCTTGCCCAGGGACACAACGACATGCTGACTGCAGTGGGGTTTGAACCTGTGACCCCCTGATCCGAACACCAACGCACAACCCACTGCACCACACGCCTCCAATTACACAGTTAAATTGGTGTGTGGGCTGGATTATGAAATATCCTCCACGTAAATTAACCATACACTTTAGAGTGAAAAAAAGATCTCATGAAACACCTTCAATCAAGACAAAATTCATATTGCGTATCTACAGTTGGTCAAATCAAGTCTACTTTGCCATATTTGAAAGACGTATCAAACATGTAATCAGGGAAAATGTCAGAATGTAACTATCATTTGATATCACATTTTCTAAACGAAATCGAGGCTGATTATAGTGGGTTTCTTTTTTATTTGAACCAGATTTTCTACAAACCAACCATATGGTCTCTGAAAGCAATACATTCAGATATACTTTGTCAACCCTGTACACATGTCACATACTATAGCAACAGTTCTATGCTGTATGTAGAAAAGTGATGTTATCAGAATCAGATGTATTGCCAAGTAGGTTCAAACATACAAGGAATTTGCTTTGGTGTATAATAGTGCATTTGTAAACACACAAAGAAAGAAAGAAATGAAGTTGTAGAAAAGGAACAAACAGAACTATTTAAAACCAATATTTTCTAAATATTATCAAGTTGATTAAAGGGTTGTGCATTTTTAAAAGAGTTTAACAGACATGTGAATATACAAGGAATATGCAACGTTTGTGGAATATGAGGAATGGTTTGAATCCTTTAAAAGTCAGGGGGTTACAGGTTCTTGAAAGAAGCAGATATGCTTAGCTGGGTTAGCTGACCTCACCGTAGCCTCTTTAGCTGAGGCTTCCCGGGTGCCACGCCCCTGCTGCGGCAGCGGGAGGGCCTCTCTTCTCGGGTTTCACGGAGTTCAGATACAACCTGACGCAGGGAGACGGCTCCTCACACTGTTTAGCGGAACTGTTGCTTGTTGACATCCCACTTCTGGAATGCTGTGTGCAGTCACTGGGAAGGAATAACTTGGACTCACCTCACCGACAGGTAAGAGCTCACCTGGCTCTGGGGAAAGCGAGGAAAAGTTGTAACAATTGCATGTTAAACTAGCTCTGTTTCAGGTAAACGACTGAAATAGGCTAACGCTAACTTTATATCTTGTGTGTGTGTGTGCCTTCTTTTTATCAAAATGATTGTTAAATATCCTACCTGAGAAGAGAGTGGACAGTTCGTTTTCAAACTCTTTGTAAAATATGCACACAAAAAATCAATTGTCAGTAGGCCTATTTAAATACAAAGTTTAAATCTCTGGGCTTTTTAAGCATTGCAGTGATAAGCACGAGCTAATGTGCGCAATTAGTGCGTAGTTCGTTGCGTCAATCATTAAACACTCTCTTTTGGTTGTCCCTAATGTATAATTAGTTCATATTAAATGTATATAACACTTTTAGAATGATATATTCTGCAAAACATCAAATACACAACAATTATTATCAAGGTAAAAATAGTATCACTTCATTTTAAAGTGTTGTAACAGTTATAATAGTGCTATTGTAGCCTACTTAGTAGGCTACTGTAAATTCCATATTCATAGGGCTTCAGTTTTTCATTAAAACCCATCTTTTAAGGGGCTTTTGATTTTAATTAGAGTCTTTATAAAATAAAAGAATGCATGTAAGTTTCTAATATGTATTCAAAGATGTTTGTGAAGAAGAGTGTTACCAAATTGATTCTTAAAAATGTTTTATTTTGCTCTTGCATTTCTTCAGTTTTTATTATTTGAAATAGTATGGCTAACTGTTAGTACATTCTTATTAATACATTAAAACAAAAAGTTGTATCAAACACTGCATCCAGCACCGTATTCCTCCCTATAGTAGTGGGTGTGTGATTAACATCACTTTCATACTACTCAGTGTGCATACTCTCTATACAATCATTTTCAAGTCAGCTAGAGCCTCTCTATGTTAATGTAATGAGGGTTTGCTGTTATACTTCAGAGTCTTTACAATCAGCATGATGACAACATTGAGCTTTAATATCTTTTTAAAAATCTGATTCCCAAAATATCATATTGCACATGTTTTTTCTCAACTTCACAAGAAGCCAATAAACTAAGTTATTTTGTGGTGGTGTCTTTTTTGTCTAGTGAGATCACTCCAAAGTGTGAACAAATCAGAACAACATAAGCGTTAAAAACAACCACTTTTGTTGATTTAATTAATTCCATTGTCAGATTCACAAATGTTAAGGGCTCTCTCCTCTTCAACATTAAGTTAACCCTTAGATGCATAAGTGGGTCTTTTTGGACCCGGTGAGGTGGTTTTCTTGAAGTATCTTTGTAATTACATTTTTTTATCATTTCATATTCCAGCTATTCCTCAAAAACATGTTTTGGATATCATGCCATTCACATTTTAAATTTACATCTTAAGAAATTGTAGTTTTTGTATTACTACCCCAAGCTTCAAGCTTCAAGCTTGCATGCGGGTCAAAAATGACCCGCATGCATTTTCTATGGAATCCTATGGGAACCTTTGATTCTTATCACCTGTGGCTGTCAGGAATACATTTACTGTACACCACACAGACTACATCACAAGTGACACCTCTCAGGAAGATTATTTTACACAGCAAGATCTGATACCTGTCATAATAATAATAATAATAATAATAATAATAATAATAATAATAATAATAAT